ACCAAAACACGTTTAATGCAGTTCAGTCGGTTGTCAAACGGATTAAACGTGGGCTAGAACATCAGCTCCCACATTGCTGTCTGCTGAAATTCAGGCAAAAACTCCAAAAGTAACTTCCAGTGTACAAACCATTGTTCAGACCAAGGCATCTTCCGAGAAGGATTCATCTGCTTCTCAGAAACAAGTATCTAAATCAGACTCAAATGCGAAATCAAATGTGAAAACTACATCCAGACCGAGCAATGAAATCAATAAGAAAAATCAAAGCAACAGACCTCCGAAGGGGTCCAATGACCAGGTCCAACTATATAATAAGTTTGGATCACTTGAGGCCATGGATGTGTCCAACCATAGCCAAGGTCGTATTTATAGCTTGTCACTCTCAAGGAAGGTGAGGGGTAGAAATAATGTCTTCAGCTATAATTCAATGGAATTGTAGGACTCCGGACTAATTTAAACGATTTACAGTTATTCAACTGAGATTTTAAACCGTCAGCGTTCTGCATCCAAGAAACCTCTCTGAAATAGGTAGATAACTTTGACTTCTGTCAGTTGATTGCATATCATTATTTTTCTCCTCTGGTTGAAAGAGCTTCTGGCGGACCATCCATCCTGGTGAGGAACAATGTTATCCATAGCTCAGTTCCACTTAAAAGAAATCTTCGAGTCGTTGCAGTTCGACTTACATTACAGGTTGCCTTTAACTTTATGCTCTTTGTACATTCCGCCTTCATCGTCGGTCCAACTAGCTGATCTGCAAGCTCTTTATGATCAACTACCTAAACCCTGTTTAATCATGGGGGATTTAAATGGCCACCACCCACTCTCGGGTAGCACCAATACAAACTCCAAAGGTAAATTACTGGAGTATTTTATTTCAAATAATGATTTATGTATTTATAATGACGGCTCAAATACGTATTTACACCCTGGCACAGGAATATATTCAGCTCTTGATTTGTCTATTACTGACTCCAGCCTACTGAGTGAGTTCGAATGGTCAGTCCACGACGACCACTGTGGAAGTGACCATTTCCCAACAATACTAAAGCCCGTGAATCCATCTGATGTTTCTCCATCATCAAGATGGAATTCTAAAAAGGCTAACTGGCATTTATATGAAACTCTCTCTGCTGACAAACTAAATCCTGAACTTTTTAATGACATTCCTGATGCCATAAAATGCTTTTCAGATGAACTAAATAACATAGCTGACGAGTGTATCCCAAAGTCCTCTGCAATTCCTCACGTACGAAAACCATGGTTTAACAATGAATGCAAACAGGCTAGGAAGGCAATGAAGAAAGCCGAGCACTATTTCCGTCGCCATCCTGTGGTCCACAATTTGGACAGATTTAAAATTTTAAACACCAAAGCACGGCGTACTTTCAAGCAAAGTAAACGCCAATCTTGGCGAAACTATGTATCAAAAATAATTCGCGCACACCGATATCAAAGGTGTGAAATATGATCCAGAAAATCAAGGGTAAGGGCTCTAAATCTAGTATACACCATCTCAAAGATGGGAATCAGCTATTGGCTGATAAATCAGATATTGCAAATAAACTTGGTGAGACGTTGGCCAAACATTCCTGAAGCACTTACCAGAATCATGTTTAGAGACGCTCTTATCTATATTTGATGATATTTGGACATCTGGAAAATTTCCTTCGTCGTGGCGCGATGCTATAATTGTTCCCATCCCTAAACCTTGACGTGATCATACTGATCCTTCCAATTATAGGCCAATTTCACTAACTAGCTGCGTTTGAAAGACCATGGAACGCATGATAAATAATCGACTTGTTTGGTACTTGGAAACTAATAACCTTATAACAGACATACAAAGTGGTTTCCGTAAAAACAGAAGTACTGTCGATCACCTAGTGCGTTTAGAATCATTTGTTAAAATGCTCTAATTAATAAACAACACGCTGTGTCTATCTTTTTTGATCTTGAAAAAGCATATGACACAACGTGGAAATATGGCATTTTAAAAGATTTACATGGCTTCGGATTGCGAGGCCGTTTGCCTCAATTTATAGCTAACTTTTTAAATGACAGACAATTTCAAGTCCGAGTGGGATCTACCCTGTCTGATCATTACACTCAGGATCAGGGAGTCCCACAAGGCAGTATTGTGTCTGTGACTTCATTTAGCATCAAGATCAACAGTTTATCCAAGGTTTTAAGTGACGTTAAGTATTAACTCACTCACTCACTCCAAGGTTTTAAATTATTCAATCGATGGATCACTTTTTGTGGATGATTTTAATATTTCTTGTCGTGGTAAAAATATGCATACTGTTGAAAGGCAACTACAGTTGTGTTTAAACAAAATAAATAAATGGTGTCTTGAAAACGACTTTAAATTTTCTAAATCCAAAACTAATTGTATACAATTCTGCCGTAAATATAGACCGCATAAAGACCCTGAACTATCTCTAAATGGCACACCCATAAAAGTTGTGAAGGGGGCCAAGTTCTTGGGTATTATTCTTGACTCACACTTAACGTTTCTACCACATATTAAATCCCTTAAAACTAAATGCCTGAAGCCGCTTGACTTGTTGAAAGTCGTTTCCAATTCTAAGTGGGGAGGGGATCAAACTACCCTCCTCCATCTATATCGATCACTGGTCCGTTTCAAACTTGATTATGGCTCCATTGTCTATGGTGGAGCCTGCAAAAGCAACCTACAACTACTTGATTTTGTCCTGGGTCTTTTCGAACTTCTCCTGTTGACAGTCTCTACGTCGAGGCTGATGAGCCATCTCTTACACAACGCCGCATAAAATTGTCCTTGTAGTATGTAACAAAACTATATTCAAATGAGTCAAATCCTGTGTTTTGAATCTTTTTATGAGGATCTATACAATAAAAAGTCTTCTCTTGTTCCGCCTCTGGGGCTAAAAGTCAAACCTTGCCTTTCTGCTGCCGGCATTGAGCTAAAAAATATCTCTCCTTCCCGTTTGCTTTCTTCTCCACCTTGGCAATTGGTTAGGCCACACGTTGACCTAACATTAACCACATTTAAAAAGTCAGAAACTAATGACTTACAGTATAAACAAGAATTTAGTCAATTAAGAAATCAATATAATACATACAAATCCTTATTTACAGATGCGTCTAAGGATGATGGCGCAGTAGCTTGTGTCACTGTCACTTGCTCTTCTAGCCTGATAACAGCTCTATTTTAACAGCAGAAGCTTACGCGATATTAACAGCTCTGAAATATATTAATAAACACCGTAAATAAAAACAATACATAATCTTTTCCGATTCTCTTTCTTGCTTTCAGGCTTCCAAAAATCTTTCTTGCAAACATCCACTTTTAATCGAAATTACTGAATTATATAATGATCTTGCTACTGGCCAATACGACATCGTCTTCTGTTTGTTACCCAGCCACGTTGGCATTTCTGGGAATACAATGGCCGATTTTGCTGCCAAGGCAGCACTCAACAAATCTTAGACACCACTTCTTATTCCATACTCTGATTACAAAGCTAGCATTAGAACTTACATCAGTGATCTGATGCAAAAGAAGTGGGACACCTAAGTAGGTATCAATAAATTACATGCAATCAACTATCGGTTACACCTACTTGGGTTGTCAGTCCAGATTTGAAGAGGTCATCATACGACGATGTCGTATTGGCCACACAAGATATACTCATGAGTACCTATTGAAAGGTGAGGATCCTCCGTTTTGTATCCCTTGTGATGAAAGAATCACGGTCAAGCATGTCCTGCTTGACTGTGTTGAATATTCAATCACAAGGGATATCTATTTCAAATCACGAACTATGAAGGATCTTTTTAGTAATATAAGTTCTCATTTAATTATTGTATCTTAAAAAAAATAGATTTGTTAACATATTTGTAAATAGATAAATATTCTATGATTGGAAGTTTGAATTAATAACTCAGATTGTTAGTGGCTGTATCCTCAAGGGGTGTTAAAGTACTGTAAAATTATTGTCCTCCTGAGAGGATACGTAAGTCCACAAGCATTCAAAGTAAATTGAAACTCTCCGCCATTTTTAATCGTAGAATATGTGTGTTTTCAAATGTGTGGCTAGATTTGTCTACGTTGCTAACGGCTGAGGGGATGGTGTAAATCCAGCTAGGGTCCATGCAGGAAGCAAATGTACTGTAAGTCCCCATGATCCCTGGTGTGGTGATCTACCTTCAGTCGTTGGCAATCTATAGCCTGTTTTTATATTGTATTGTCATTAATAGTTCCAATAGTTTAGATTTAATTGCTAGTTTTAAATGGTTATCTGTGATACACTAGTAGTTTTACTGTTCTTTGTACAGGTTTTTTAAGTTTTAACGTTATTGATCTTTAATATAATTGTAAAATGTTCTCGTCACGACATGGCTGAAATATTGCCGATGTGAGGATAAATATTAACTCACTCACTCACTTTAACATTCCCCTTTTATTAAGAGTATCACCATTTATGGCATGACGTAAACGTCTTACTCTCTGAGTCTTTTGTCACATCCTCATCTCTCAGCATGGGCCTAGATTTTCGAAGCTCTCTTGGAGCTAAGATAGTCGTAAGTTAATTTTAATGACTATCTAAACACTATGAGAGCTTCGAAAATCTAGGTCCTGTTCTCTATGATGTGTTTCTTCTGGATACATTGATGTATATTTCTTGAAATGTATTATGTTGCTCCTTGTATCATTATTGTTGCATACAAGAACCTAATCAATGTGGTTCCATACAAAAATGGTATGTTTGTACTATCATAGAGAATATTCTCAAATATCATTATTTGCTTTTGAGGACAAAGGCTTCTTGTGACAGGGTGGTATTGTCATAGTGCAAGTATTTGCTTAATAATCCATATAAAAAGATATATAAAAATGAACTGCAGTCCCCGGCTGCTTGTCGCATCCAGATTGACACGCTGACCACTTAACGACGATGCCATAACCATTCCTGATGTTCTCATTTATCCTGAATTCATCTTTTCATTCTAAGGCAAAATTACCTTCACAGGTAAAAGGCAAAACATTGCTCTGAACAAACCAGCTTGGATGAGCACATCCTGGCAACCCTTCACCCCTGCCAGTCAAGCAGTTGATGGAGCTATACACCCATTTAACTGGGGAAAAAATATCCACACTGATATCAACCAGCAAACAGCTTGGTGGAAGGTGGACCTACAGACAGTCGTATCATCACCTCAAGTTAATATCTATTTCCGGATGAGCTGTAAGTACCGAAATGTTGACAAGAAAACTGTACTTAGTAAATGTTTTTGCATATATGAAATGGAAGCAATGAACGATATCGTTAAGCAGTTTCTGGTCACAAAATGCAGAATTGATTACTTAAGGCCCGCAGCCCGCAGCCCGCAGCCCTCTAGCTGCAAAACAACAAACAAACGTTGCCAGTGTATCATAAAACTGTAGGGTCATGGTCACTGAGGTTCTACATACTCGAAGTCGGTAAAAGTATTGTCACTGTTATGAGGTCAGTACATGTACACAATATTTATACATCACCAGTTAAGTCACCAAAGGTATGGACGGTACACACATGCATCAGTAACATCAGGAGTCATTGTTCACGATGTAACTGAAGGCATATTGTTATATGGCAGTTGTATTTGTTCTAGACAAATTTCGTAGTTGTGTTGCTTTGTAACTGTCAGGCCCGCCGTGATATTGCTGGAATATTGCTAAAAGCGGCGTAAAACTAAACTCAGTCAGTGTAACTGTCAGGATCAGCAGAGGGACGTGACGTGTTAGTATACGGTAGATGGTATCGGGGGCAATAGTCATATGGATGCTACTGGGACCAAATAGTTTTTTCTAGCGTGGCATATAAATTTCTGGAGGATATTTAAGACTATGTAGGGGACAGGGGCACGGCTCGGTCGTCTAATGTTACATCAAAAGCAGTAGTTGTGTTACAGATCATAATATCAGCCTGGGTGTCCACCCTAGGGATGCTTTGGAACCTTGTCTGCTGGGTGAACAGTATTATCACTGTAGTTTATTGCTATTATCACTGCAACTATACTGGCATTGCATTTCACGAGGACAGTCACGCCCATGATCAGTTAGTGCTTCATTGACATCAAAATATTTTTCTGTTTCAAAAAACACACCCCAAAACATATTCTTTGTGTTTATTAACTTTCTTCCATGATAGTCAGTAATTCAGGGGATGTTGTTCCTGCCGGTATATCCCTGGTGTATTTCTTTCCAGACAAGAGTCGACGTGACGGTATACAGCTGTATACGTCTCTAAGAAATTCATCTTCCCCAAAAGAGGGGAATCTATGCTACAGTGTCAGAGGATGCAGTGATGGGACCGACATCCCCGACGTCCTGAACGTCACCTGTCCTGGGAACTGGCGCTACCTGACTGTCTACACAGAGAAGGCAAATAATAAAAATGGTCCCGTCCTTGACTTTGCCGAGGTGCAGGTGTGGGTGACGAACATCGAGACAAGTGAAGATTACCAGCAGACTGCCACACAGACCACAGCACCGACGCCAGCTATGTTGAGTAAGGTTTCTCTGACACGTAATTACTAAAGCGTGATTAACCCAGTATTACAAGCCGGTTAGTCAGGTTCACTAAAATGCATTGCAATTCAAACTTTAGTTAAGTCATCTGATCCGTACCAAATATATAGCAACAAATAAGGCGTACTGGAATGTATAAGTCGTCGCAGAGAGAACTTCAGAAGAAACCCGATCGGCTGGCCATGGATACCATACGTTATGGCTTACACTTTATCAGTAAAGTAGATTCCTGTACTTATTTAGTTGAGCCCGGTTCGGGATTCGAACCCATACTGTATCCATACCAAACTAACGTCTTCTAGACTAGGGACGATGAGGTAGCCTAGTGGTTAAAGTGTTTGCTCGTCGTGCTTCGTCACGGTTTGATTCCACCCCTTGGTACATTATGTGAAGCCAATTTCTGGTGGACTGTTTGGTCAGGAGCACAAGACAGAGGTAAAATTTAGAACCCACCTTCACAAACTGACAATACCAGTAACACCACTTTAACAATTCCAATAATGGTCTCTATGCTAAGATTGCTTTGTTCAAGTTGGTGCTCGCTTTCGGCCCTGGCTCTTGTTTTACAGTCACCCTATTTTGTCGTTCTCAAGACAATATTTCAAGTCCATCACTGGTGTACCTCGATGTCATGTTGCTGGAATATTGCTAAAAGCGGCTTAAAAATATACTCACTTGGACTGTCAGTTGACATATTTCCCTTTCGTAGAAGCTATGGTGGCTGGGTGAGTTTACTTAGATCGCTGACTTTGTTTGATGACGATTAGCTGACTGACTTATAGCCCTCAACCCCAAACGTCCGATAATCGTACCGGAACATGTTTACTGAACAACATCCCAAATAAATATAACATATTTGACTGTTGACCCCTTTCTAACCGACAATCTGTATTTATGCCACTGTTCAGTCAGCTGTTACGGAATACACTGAGCACTATTCTGCTTTATTTTAAGCACCGGGTGTCATGACATTTCCAACAGGACACGAGTGTGGAGTAGGACAGCGATATGGAGCCAGTTGTATGAAGTCGTGCGCGGACCGCCAGTGTAAGCTGAACTCCAGCTGTGATGTCAAACAAGGCAGGTGTGTTGGTGGATGTAGAGCTGGATGGTCCGCCGCGGACTGCACACAAGGTGAGATAGTTCGTCCTCATGTGAAATGTTTCACGGCGGAGAAGTGCCTTTCTCTCAGATCCAGAGAAGTGCTTGCTACATGATATGCTCTTCCCTGTTGACAGAATGTGTTCAAGGAATGGAATACGGCGCTAACTGCGAGGGTACCTGCAGTACCCGGATGTGTGAGGGAGGGTTAGTCTCCTGTCCTCGTGACACTGGCCGGTGTGAGGCAGGATGCAAGTCGGGATGGACGGGGGAAGACTGTACCCAAGGTAACAAAAATAGGTTTTAGCTTAAATCTACATAGATCTCTTGGTGTGGCAAGATAGATCTCAAGGATATCTATGGCATTTCAGGTTGATGAAGGACTTGTCTAACTAAAGCTTGGCAGTAACATGTAAAATTATGTTTTCTTCGACCTACAGGTCGTAGGTGAATGCCTCTCTGGAACCGAGTTGACAGCACTCACTTGACAGGACAAACAGGAATATGATCAATCACATAACCTTCCTTTCTCTGTCACAGGATCTGAATCTATTCGATCCACCCTTTACATATATGTGTAACAAATATCAAATATCAAGTAATGCTACAGTTTGAAACGTTGAAATAGTCTCCAGTGTTCAAATTTCATCATGACGAACTTTGGGAACCGATTATTGTTAAAGACAACATGAACATTCGTCTATCTGAACGTTTTCATTTGTATAACTTTGGCATGAAGATTTGAATGAGTCAATTCAGTTTTGCAAATTATTTTAACGATTAGTTGGTGACAACACAAGATGGATGATTCACTTAATTGTCTTAGTATACTTGCACCACATTGAAATGGAAGCTCGCCTGCAAGTACTGCTCTAACCATTGTGCAATATAATCGCTTTTGTCCTTGACATTAGTCGCTTGTACTCTATATAAATTTCATGAGATTTACCCACATGTAATATCCATTATTACCCGATGTGTATACGTATTTCCTGATGTGTTTGTACTATATCTTTGCTTTTTACAATCAAACGTTTCGTTCTTATTTCTTTTTCAGAATTAAAGAGGCAGGTTCCTGTGTCGTGTCCCGTTTACCCTGCCAATATCAGTGTTCTCGATATTTGTGTCACCATCATGGTTGGCGTGCTACTCATCCTTGTTCTCGGTCTCTGTCTCTGTTTACTGAAGCAGGGGAAGTGAGTGTCTTAACACACTATCACGTAGCTCGACAAATTACGATTCTAATCAGCACCGATCCATGCGTGTGCAAGTGAACGGTGTAACATCAGCCCTGAAAATCATCAAACACGGTGTCCCGCAAGGATCCGTGTTAGGTCCTGTTTTGTTCCAGTGCTATATCCAGTTCAATTTACAGTAACTATATCCGATAGAAACAGAATATGAGACGGCAAATGCTATTAATTGAAATATACATGTATAGGTTAACAAATGCAGATGTTCGATTACTGCTGTTGATGATGGTTAAAGTTATGCACATGGTACCGAAAGTATAGCTTATGTTTTAGGGACGGCGAAATTTTGGATGTCGATTTACCTTTTGCTGAGGACGATACAACGATCAATGTGGCCTCATGATATTGTTGGGCGTTGTATAATACACCTTGCAATGCTTTCCTTATCTCCGTTGGCAGTGAAAATGATTGTGTTACATACGTCCAAAAATTAGCTGTTGTCTTTGTGTCATGCAGGTTGCCATGGAGCCGTGCAGAGGTGCAGACAAACCGGTTGATTGACGTGAATGACCTGGCTGATGTTAATACTACAGAAGGAACGAACAGTTCAAACACTTTAGAAGATATTCTGTGAAATCAATTTGGACGATGGCTCGTTTAATGGTGGGAGCTGATCATATGTTGGTTAAAGATTAGAAGATGGCCGCAGAAAAGGTGGCCATGTGCAGTTTATGTGGACGTTGTGTAAATTCATTTCTGTAAAACAGAAAACGCCAGTGTAGTAACCGGTCTTGAATACCTACAGACTCCACTTGGTGTAAAGGGCAAGGTCACTGTGACAATTATAGGAACTGGACCACTGAGAAAAGTGATGACATCGATGTTTTTGAGTGGTTACAATCCGCTGTATGGTGTTTGATTATTGCCATGTGCAACTACAAATAAAAACAAAGCAAAACACCCCAAAACAACAACAAACAAATATATTACGATCTTAGGAACAACTTCTTACTCGCAGATGTTCCACTACATACCCTATAGCGTGTTACACCTGCTTTTAACATATATGTTTCTTGCACTAACACTTCCACTGCGGCTGAGCACAATCAACGCATAGAACGAACAGCCCGTGTCCTTCTCATTAACATGACGTGCTTCCCTTTCAGCCATCACCCTCAGAGACTGCGGGTAAGAATACAGGTCCCAACTAGAGGTCTAACTTGAGTCGTTAGAGGCGACTAACTGTATCGGGCTACTTGGTCATCGTATCCCATTTACGTGTATCGATGCTGATGATGTTCATCACAGGATATCATTAGATTAGATTGTGTATACTGCCACCATGCAACTCCAGGGCAGCGTTAGGCAACAGACAAACCTAACAAACTTCTTTTCTACCGGAATGCCACACTACATTCCTTCCATTCATTTAACAGAACTGCAGCAAATGGGAATGTGAGACTCAGTGTGTATTCTTGTGACGTGGTCAGCTGAATCAGGTCCTTTGGCAAGACGTATCAGTTGCGTTATGCAGATTATTAATGACCTATATCGTTATACTCTACTACTCCACTACACTGCTAATACAACACAAGATTACTGTATATATACATACACACCACATCGGCCTAGTCCACTACACTGCTAATACAACACAAGATTACTGTATATATACATACACACCACATCGGCCTAGTCCTCCATCCAGGTTATTACACGGGCGCTGATGGTAAATGTCATATATATGTTGTATATGTTATAAATATATTCTATATTTCCAAGCCTTTGCACATATATATGTTAAGTTTCATCTACACTTAAGAATGCCAAATTGTATGCACCATAATGTGCAAACTTAACAAGCATAATTTACACATGAATGAATAAAGGTTCAGTTTTTATATTTATAATGTTAAAATAAACAAAACGTTATAATAGTAAGCAGGGCAGTTTAGCGCAGTCTGTGTTCCTGGTCAAAATCAAAATCTTATATATCAACATAACTAGAGAAAGAATCTTCACAATGCACCGTGATTCGCATTCAGGCGAACAGTAGCACTATAAAGACGTCATTGAGCCAATACACCACCATACTCGGCGTCATGCTTGAGGCAATACAAGAAGCATTTGTCAAACCAAGAGTAATCTAAAAACTTTAATGCCCATTATTTGAATGCTGCACAACACTGTAATGACATGTAAGACAACCCTGCTCGCATTTGAGGCAGACAAAACGTCGTTGTTGTGGAGACTCGGATCAATACGCTTCACATGCCCACACTGGGTCGACACAGAAAACACAAACCACTACCTGTACGTGCTATTTGTAGCATGATATCAATTTGCATTTCAACTTCCTGGTTTGACTGTGTACAGTTCAAGTAGCTGAGTGTAATGGTAGTAAGACAGGTTTACATTCACAGGAGTAGTGGCCAGTGGGGTGCCCATTTCTGTCGTCCGTACTGCTCATCTTGCTGCTAAAGCAGCGCTCAACAAATCTGTGACACTACTTCTTATTCCATACTCCGATTACAAAGCAACTGTTAGATCTTATGTCCGTGATTTACTGCGAAAGAAGTGGAACACTCAAGTAGGTATAAATAAGTGAAATTAAACCGACTATCCGTTGCACCTACTCATTTAATTATTGTTTTCTAAAATAAATTGATTTAATTGATCAATTCTGATTATTATGTTTTATAGATAGATGCATTTTAATGATTTGTAGTTTAGATTAGTAACTGTACCCTTAAAGTATCGTAAAATTATTTTCCTCCTGAGAGGGTACATAAGTAACGAAACATTCAACGGCAATTTGAATGTACCAGATCTGGTGATCTATAGTCCGTTGTTTATAGTGATGTACTTTTATGATAGCGTACTAGTTTTAAATTAACAGCTGTGATGATCTAGTATTTTACTGTCCTTCGATGACAGGTTTGTACGTTCTAAATTTATAGATTTGAATATTGATATCAATTGTTCTTGTCACGATATGGCTGCAATATTGCCGAAGTGACGCTAAATATTACCTCACTCACTCACTCGTACCGCCCGTACACGAGCGTTCATGTTTGAGCACAAGAAAAGGGTCTCGTTTCACGAAGCGATTGTAGCTATAAAGAGTCGGGCCTATAAAGTGTACTTTGCAATAACTTCTCTGAGTGGAATTTAGAAGTTTGTGTGATGAAAAACAAGGAGGGTTCTATGCTTGACAACGGTGTCCTTTCCCATACAACATGAAGCAAGCACGCAGCATAGAGCAAACCCAGTGGTCACAATACAAACTACTATAGACAGTCAGGACAAAACCCAGTCTGAACCTGACACTGCAGTATTGTGTTATACTCACTTGACACAATGCACATTGTGTTCTTGGTTACATAATATTGCAACCCAATTCTCTCAAGTACAGTCTTTCTACAACTTTGCATTATCGGAACTAATATGACCCAGAGTTGCTAAAGGGGGAGGACTGATTGACGATCGATTATTTTGTCTTCCGACATTAATGTACACAGTACAATGATCAACACAGATTTTGGCAATACTAATCATATATGCATTATCACCCCGTGTCATTGAGGTATATACACCCAGCGATCTATATGCAATATTTACCTAATGCATTCAATAAATAATGGCTAATGTTTACCAGCCGTTTACAATTCACAATGTTATCAATCTAATGTTTAAAGCATTATTATCATGCCGAGACAGGTTTAATCACTTCGCCAACAAACACTTCGCCTGAATTAACTACCTGCCCTCTCACCTGGTCCGTCTACTCACACGTATGACATACCTGTACTTATTTAGTTCCTTGTCGCCGTGTACAACATGGATATCATGCAGCGATCTAACACACTCTGGTTGTTGACACTTGTTTGCGCGTGGCAGCCGTGTACAGCCTTGGGTAAGTAAATGTTCACTTCATGCTTGAGTGCTTGTCAGTATGGTTGTGATGATCTGTAGTTCCGTTAATATATAGTTGTGCTTGTCTTCAGTTGTCTGAACCTGTAGTTGTGTCAGTGTAAAGTGTTCACATAAACCAATGATGCGTTCACATGCAACCAGAGAGGCTTCGAAGCGTAGAGAAATGTGTTCAGTGACACACAAAATCATTGGATGGCAAGTTTGCCTCCTTTACATGCACCAATAACAGGAGCGCCTCATTTTACTAACAAGTTTAGTTTGTGTGAATGTTGTTTGTCATGTGGATTGTAAAGCTGCAACAAAATCAATCAGATATAATGCTTTACTTTGTTAAACATGCAGTAAATGTTATAGAAAATTAAAACGCTTTCTAATGTGTCAGTAATGCAAGGGTGAGATGGTGAGAATGTCTTGAAATATATCAGGATCCGCCTGCCGTGGTCCGCTGTGTTATTGATCTTGGCATTGGTTGTGTTCGGCAAGATTGTTCAGATGTGAAGGAAGGTAATTCAGCACGACTAAGGAAACAAAAGGCCGGACGAACACCCATGTACAATGTGGCTTCTCGACTGACTGAAATTGACTCAAACAATGGTTTGTCTGGGTCAAACTAAATCATTAACAGACACACCTAGTTATTGTCATTAGTCTGTCAGGATAACAAAATAATTTTATTATTATATTATTACCATCCCTCACTCTCTCTCTCTCTCTCTCTGTCTATCTATCTATCTATCTATCTATCTATCTATATATACTCATGCCAATAATGGTTGTCACCCCCTTCAATTATTTTAATTGGAGAGGGTGTGTGGGGTGGGGTGGGAGGTGTGTGGGGGTTGGGTGGGAGGTGGGTGACAACCATTATTGGCATGATGTATATATATATATATATATGCAACAAGGAATGTGTGAAACCAGGGATTTCACGAAATCCTTAAAAGAATCAGTGATTTCGTAAAATGACTGTGACCATTGACCTCCAGGGATTTCATGTATTCCCTAAAATTTCAAGGGATTTCATTAAATATTGGCTCAGGGATTCATGAAACCCCTTGAAGCATATATTGAAATAGAAAACACCAAATTGATAATGCGAGTACAGAGTATATGCTGATAAACTTCACTTCTTGGGGCAAGATGTTATGACACTGGCTATTATCACTTCAGTCCCGCTTTAAAACAGTTCGTCTTTTTGCCCATTGTATTTTCATGTTTTTACAAAATGATAACACATCTACCAGTTTTATTCCACCTTTCTCGTAGTCGTTAATAAGCATAGTCTTGTTTATGCTATCTCTTTTACCATACCATATAAATCGATACAATCACTCGTTTAAAAAACAAACAGATGATGGAATCGAACGGGTAGAGACATAAAGAGGCGGGTAAATGAGGGTAAAATTTGTCATGGCAGAGTTAACGTTCTATTTGACCATGTGTAAATTGCTTGCTTTTCTTGCCTTTGTAAATTGCTTATCAATATTTACATCTAGCATTTCTCTCAGATTTGTTGAAAATGTAATTCTTAGAATCTTAAAGGTTTTTTTGGACCAATAAATAAGTATAAGAGGAGACAGTTTATCAGACGAACCGGTTTTGGATGCAATCCAAACTGCTGAACGTTTGTCATAATTGATCTTTAACCCTGAGCAAATAGCGAATTCTTTAAGAGTCTTCATGACTTGTCATATACTTTGTTCTGATCCGTTGAGCGAGAAATATTTCAATCATCCGAATATTGGAAAATAGAATATTCTACTCCTTTCACATTAATCCTGGTTATATTTTTGTTACGTTTAACAGAAATAGCACGCAATTCTGCACACATTATGAATAGTTAAGCTGATAAAGGGTCTCCCTGTAGACATACCCAACCCAGACTGAAAACATTGGAAATATGTCTCCAGTTTATTATAGCACTACAACTATTTGGAGTAAAAAGTCGAACCCATTCTCTAAAGGAAGGGCCAAACTGATATGCGTCTAACACTTTTTCGATAAATTCCCATTCTACAGAGTCAAATGCCTTTTCAAAATCAACCGTTACTAAGAACTGAGTGATGAAATGAGACTCAACAGTAGATTGTCAAAGTTGTAAGCTACAAACACTAATTTCATAAATTAATTTCATACATTCACTGATATAACAGGGAATGTGTGTAATGGGGCACTACGAAAATCAGTAATTTTATGAAATCCCTTGACATTTTAGGGAATACATGAAATCCCTGGGGGTCACAGTGATTTCATGAACTTACTAATTCTTTAAGGGATTACGTGAAATCCCTGGTTTCACACATTCCCTGTAACATATATAGCACTATCGTACTATCTATATCGTAATAAATATTAATTTGCAATACAACTCGTAGAATCTGGCGTATTCCAGCATTGCTAAAAGGAAGCAATTGTGACTCCCATTCTAAAGAAACAATCACTGGATCCGGATGTTTTTTAAGAACCTACGCCCAGTCTCCAACCTCAGTTTCCTTTTAAAAAATCATCCAAATAGGATGTCCTCTCCCAACTGCAATCACACATCAATGATCACGGACTAACTGAAATATTTGCGTGTGCAAGTGAACGGTGTAACATCAGCCCCGAAAATCGTCAAACAAGGATCCGTGTTAGGTCCTGTTTTGTTCCAGTGCTATATCCTGTCACTGGAGAACATCATCAAAGGTCACTCTTTGGACTTCCATGGATACGTCGACGATCAGCAGCTGTTTGTGGCGGTTACACCATTGAATGTTAGCTCAGGAATCGGCAGCATGCAAGACTGCATCAGAGACGTTCATGATTGGATGTCTGCTAATCACCTGCAACTTAACAAGAACAAAACATAATTCATTATGTTATGGTACTCAACAACAGCTCGCTCCAGATACCATCAACCTATCTGTGGACACGATCTGTGTTGATCCAGCTGTAACTGTCAAGAACCTGGGCGTTGTCATGGATCGAACCATGTCAGCTAAACATCAGGCAGGCAGGCACTCAACATTGCCAAAGCAGCAAACTTTTTAATCGCTAACATCGGCAAACTCCGGATGTACCTTGATAACGAAACTTGCAAAATTCTGATTCAGTCTCAAGTAACAAGCAAAGTCGATTACTGTAACTCTCTAGTGTTTTGATCTGGCGTAATCTCTCACTTACAGAGAGTTCAGAACGAGACTGCTCGTGTTGTCACCCGCATCAGAAAGAATTGTCACATTACGCCAATTCTCAGAGATTTATACTGGTTGCCCATCAGACATTTGGTCAGTTTCAAGTTACTCGTCTTGACTACAATGCTCTCTATGTTGAGTTATCGCCTGCTTAGTTAGAGGACCTGCTGTCGGTGTACCACCCATCTAGAACCTTACGTTCTGCCCAGAAGGAGCAACTGGTTGTTCCATCAACATCAACAAAGGCTGGAGATCGTGCCTTCTCAGTTGCAGCTTCCGCCCTTTGGAACGTGGTCCCCCTTGACATCAGAAATAGTGACTCTCTCCAGCTTGAAAGAGAAACCCAAAACAGTTCTCTTCTCATCTACAGATTGAACTGTAATAAAGTGACTTCTAACGTGTAATCACCATTGAGCAGCTGCATAAAGCTGGAGATAGGGGCTATATTAAGCAATTATTATTGTTATCTGATTTAAAATTAATGCCCAATTCATTGGATCGCAGGTATGGCTGATGCCATTGTTGCTGGCTGTGTTGGAGGCATTGTCCTTGTCGTCATCATCGTCATCATCATCGTTGTCATTGTGTTGCTGCGTAGGTAAGTACGAGTATATCACGATCTTTCTGATGTACATGGGAACGTTCTATTCTCATACAGGGTTTCTGTGCCCTTCGAGTACTCCTCACGACAATCTACCTACGTATTATTCAGAAATGGAAAACAATTTCACTTAAAGTTGCAGTTGAAATAATATGTACGTTATTTAATACCTTTTGAACACGTCATATCTATTCCGTCGTAGTTACAGTCGTGAAGTTACAGCTGAATGCTTTATCCGAGTATTCTGTAACCACACACAGGTAAAGTGTAAGTAGCAGATGTCTCGAAATACTCCTGCTTTGAAAAAACCCGAATTTTTGTACATGTTCTTAGCAATTACATGTAAATCAAACAAAACAGGCACATCGATATTCTTTTCCACAGTTCTAAATAATTTTACCCATTCCGTGTAAATGGTAATAACATATTGTTGATTCAGGTGTTCTATTATAATTCCCGTTTCCATGCTATGAACATTTGCCCCTACTCCTCTCTACCTGGTTTTTAAAGTAGCACCTGGTGAGGGCGTCATAAATCCTGCAGTTTGAAACAGTCACATCTTATCAAATAAACTTTCCGCCACGTAATCAGGTAATGAGATTTTCATAGTTACAGTATTTTCCTGTGTATGAATATTTGCCCATCATACAATATTTTTTTATAAATGTGCAGTATTGAAATATATTAAGGTTGAGTAGCCATGTGGTTAAAGTTCTAGTCTAATGGTACAATCTGTGCCACTCATTCCTGGTGTCTCCCCACAATGATATCCCATTCTTGAACATAGGTTACAATCAGACAAACACCGAAGGCACCACTTTCAACTACCCCGTTTCATTTATAAGTATAAACATACATTGTGACTGTTTTGACGCCAGAGTGTATGCCTAACGACTGCAGTAATGTCCCGGTGCGGTGAAGTAGACGCTCACACGGGACTCTAACAGTTTCTATCTATCCGGTACATAGATATCGGAATGTGTATCGGATATCAACTTCCCATAAGGGTGTCGTTACACTGAGGAAAAGTTGTATAATTTCTGAACAATATACTGATATCAAACCTTGTAGTTCTAATCAAAATCCATGTTTTGTTTGTCAAAAGCATGTTTATTGGACAATTTGTTTTATGTGCTAAAACCCATTTTATTTCTAGCTTAGCTCAACCGTAAACCACCATACTTAACTTGTCTCAATCAGTCACTGAAACTAGATTTTTCACGATACTGTTTCACTTTCTTTTCTCTGTGCCAGTTGGCCACCAGTGCATTGTTTTGGATCTTGCTGTAAATGCTTGAATGGAAAGAGATAAACTGCATTCTAACTGACCTATACTTCTCCTACACACAAATACTGTTTCTTGTAGAGTGACCATAGCTTCAGTGTTTTGTTTCTTCTTCAGGAAACGTCGACAAAGACATTTCTTCTCAGACACTGGGGCAATCTATGAGAATGTGTCTCCAACGAGGACAGTTCTACCACTTGGTGATAAAGGTACTGCAAGGAGAGAGAGACAGACAGACACAGGCAGACACACAGACATAGACACAGACACAGACATATACACAAAAACAAACAGGCAGGCAGACATACCAACACAGACACAGACATACCAACACAGACACAGACATACCAACACAGACACAGACAAACCAACACAGACACTGACATATACACAAACACAAACAGGCAGGCAGACATACCAACACACACACACATACACAGACAGAGAGACAGACAGACACAGGCAGACACACAGACACAGACATAGACACATACACAGACACATACACAGACACAAACAGGCAGGCAGACATACCAACACAGACACAAACAGGCAGGCAGACATACCAACACATACATACACAGACAGAGAGACAGACAGATACAGGCAGACACACAGACATAGACACATACACAGACACAGACACAAACAGGCAGACAGACATACCAACACAGACACAGACACAAACAGGCAGGCAGACATACCAACACAGACACAGACACAGACACAAACAGGCAGGCAGACATACCAACACAGACACATACACAGACACAAACAGGCAGGCAGACATACCAACACAGACACAGACATACCAACACAGACACAGACAAACCAACACAGACACAGACATATACACAAACACAAACAGGCAGGCAGACATACCAACACACACACACATACACAGACAGAGAGACAGACAGGCACAGGCAGACACACAGACACAGACATAGACACATACACAGACACATACACAGACACAAACAGGCAGGCAGACATACCAACACAGACACAAACAGGCAGGCAGACATACCAACACATACATACACAGACAGAGAGACAGACAGATACAGGCAGACACACAGACATAGACACATACACAGACACAGACACAAACAGGCAGACAGACATACCAACACAGACACAGACACAAACAGGCAGGCAGACATACCAACACAGACGCATACACAGACACAAACAGGCAGGCAGACATACCAACACAGACACATACACAGACACAAACAGGCAGGCAGACATACCAACACAGACACAGACACAAACAGGCAGGCAGACATACCAACACACACATACACATACAGAGAGACAGACAGATACAGGCAGACACACAGACATAGACACATACACAGACACAGACACAAACAGGCAGGCAGACATACCAACACAGACACAGACACAGACATATACATAAGCAGACAGACAGAGAGGCAGAATTCTTGAGAATTTGGGAACAGTTTCAGAGAGAGGTAATGCGAGTTGTGAGGAGAATTTGTGTACAGGAGACGAATTTTGGGTGTGTGCGAGGGGAAGTAGGAGAAAGTAGTTTTGGGGAGTATGGAGCATAGTATCAAACTATGACAGTGCACATGCATCGCGGTAGTTGCTGTAATTATGGCACCATTCAGTAGTGTTTTTCACCGTTAGAATTGATCTTCAGTATCCCATGCTTTTCGCAAGAGGCAACTAACGGGATGGGATGGTCAGGCTCGCTGACTTGGTTGACACATGTCATCGTATGCCAATTGGGTAGATCGATGTTCATGCTGTTGATCACTCGCTTGTCTGGTCCAGACTCAATTATTTACGACGCCATATAACTGGAATATTGTGCGGGGTAAAACTAAACTCACTCAGTGTAATGTGTTGGTAAACAAGGCCACTTTCCATGTTATAATGATTTATTTTAAATTGATATGATAACAATACATAGGTGAAGCACAGAAGACAAACGGGAAGAAGCGAGCTACTCAACGTATGCCGGAGGAGAAGAAAAAGAGACAGAAGTCCATGGATATCGAGACTGTGTCGCCCACCGTCGCCTCCAGCACGGAGATCCATATCTCCACACTGGGAACCTTCGTCGCTAAAATGAAGAAGGCTGGGAGATTTGAAACGGAATACCAAGTGAGTATGTCATAAATCACATCTTCAACCTGAGGAATGTCGGTACAGAATCAGATCAATGTATGCTTCGACTGCCCATCAATACCCGAATTTGATATCAGATGTACAGGCAGAACATTCGCAGCCTCTCTTTCGAAAGCATCAATTAGGTCACTAAACATCGATGATAGTCCTGGTTGAGATCATTCCATACCTTAAGCCATCTTTCCTATGTATCACATGTGCCTTGAGTATGGTCAAGATTCGAAATGGGTCAAAACATGGTTAAAAATAGGTTATTTTATAAACGATGTAATGTTTGACGACAAATGACAATGATGTTTTAACTATTTCTTTCTACTTGTACCTATGGTTTCTACATGAGCTTCACCTTTGAGAAATTCCACAGGGTATCTGACGTGCATGACGCACATACAATATTGTTCATCATTCTCCATCTCGAATGTAGAAGTTGGATGCGTTGTGAAGCAGGCGGTGAGAATAGGGTCACATGGGGAGCAATCTTGTACTGGGCTGTAGGACGTTTAATGCATGACGTCATATAGACTAGGGCCGATTGTGGATAAAAGTAATGCAAGAGGCATTTTTAGTAGGATTTGGTATCCAGGCTATTTTACCTATTTAAAGGGTGCTGATCACGAAAACAAAGATACCAAGCTGAAAAAGGTGTTTTTGAGCATCAAAATTGAAAAACATAATGACCACCAAAATCGCCCAAAATAGAGGTAGTTGTGCACAGTATTTTCGCCTATGACTGTATCTCTAATTTTTTAATTTTGGAAATTTGACCTTTTATGACATTTAAAGAATGCTGATCATGAATAAATAGGATTCCAACCTGGAAAATGTTTTTTAGACCTCAGATTTGAAAAACAAAATGGCCGCAAGTAGTGGTAGGTGTGCATGGTATGTCATCACCTGTCACTGTAAGTCTATTTTCTAAATTTTTAAACCTGACCTTTTTAGACATATAAATGGTGCTGATCAGGAAAAAAACAGGATACCAACTGAAAAGCAACATGTTACCAGCAGGTATGGCTTAGGGAAATGCATGACCTTTGTTCAAGTTTGGTTAACATGAAAATGGCATTCCGCTCGTATTTTCTCAGTTTATGACCAGGTTAGCTGACGTTAAGCTAGTATTTATGCTGTACATAATCATACATGACTGCTTTCCATTCAGACACTACCTTCCGGGTTCATGGGGTCATATGAAGTGTCCAAGAAGCCGGAACACAAAGGGAAGAACAAGTTTATCGGATTATACCCCTGTAAATATATACAGCCTCATAAAACATACCCCTGTAAATATATACAGCCTCATAAAACATACCCCTGTAAATATATACAGCCTCATAAAACATACCCCTGTAAATATATACAGCCTCATAAAACATACCCCTGTAAATATATACAGCCTCATAAAACATGCACACACTTTCCTGTTTGGAGGGGACGCTAAAGGCAATATTTGCATGCGTATATATTTCATGATAAGTTTGTAAACTTCTGGTTACTCTAATGCATAATGTAATATATACTGTGAGAACTGGAAATGACTTTATGAATAAACGTGTATATACTGACTCTATTTATGATATGAAATCTGAGAGTGGTTTCTGAGGATAGTCAAGACTGGGGACTATTTTGCTCTTACATCATACATTTCCTCTTCAGAATATTCTTCAGATGGTATTATTTCTTGGGTCATGAATAATCATGAATATATTGTTCTGTAATACAATTAATTCATAGATGCTAACATTTCTGCAGCCATGAACAAACCTACATCAATGTTTCAGATGATTACAACCGAGTTGCTCTGCCCGCCATCCCCGGAGAGCCTGGCTCCACCTACATCAACGCCAGTCACATCAAGGTAAGCTTTACATCAACACTACTGTCTACATCTGTTACAGCAATGTCTTTATGAACATAAGTGTGATTTCCGAGGTGCACATTGACCACAGTCTTCAAACCGATGCACCTATTTGTATGTTGACTGAGCCCTGGCATTTTGAATTTCGGATATTCTTGCTTTATTACATAACAGTTGAACCAGATTAAAAAAAAGTCATTGGTGGGAATTGAAGTGTGATTTTCGAGATGCACATTAATAAAAGTCGTCAAAACAATGTACTTTTTTATCTGTTGGCTGAGCCGTGCTTTTACGTTGATGGGAATTTATGTAATATTGTCGAAATAAGGACGTGTTGATATTTGTGGACAGATTAAGCGGAGAAACTACTGTGTTGGGGTATTCTTGCGTACGTGTCAGAACTGTGTGGAGGGAAACCCCTCGACTGATAGTGTGTATGTGTAAGTGAGGAATATGTACTTAGCATTTCGCTAATATTTGAGTTGACATCCATGTTGAACTTTTTATCCCGTGACATTTCCTACAGATACACTTGTGATCGTTATACTGTGTAATTAAAACCCCGTCCATGTTTTCCTCGACGAAACCGGTCATTAATCAGGGTGTATGTGTTGTCATGAGTCTGCATTAGTATTACAAACTAAATATAGTATTACATGTGTGTTCTATCGGACAGTGACTGTGTACACCCGCGCATCAAGTTCATTCCCTTGTTATTTTCACATCCTTGTAGGGATACAAGAACGACAAAAGCTACATTGCGGCTCAGGGTAAGTTAATCTACCCGATATACATGAGTGAGTGAGTGAGTGAGTTTAGTTTTACGCCGCTTTTAGAAATATTCCTGCAATATCACGGCGAGGCGATAAACATGAGGCAAGGTGAGGTGAGGTGAGGTGAGGTGGGTGAGGTTGGGTGGCTGAGGTGAGGTGAGGATGGGTAGCGGAAGTGAGGTGAGGGAGGAGGGAGGGAGGGAGGCGGAGGGAGGCGAGGCGAGGAGAGGGGAGGAGAGGCGAGGTGTCGCGTAAATGATTGAGGATACTATGTTGCTTAATCTGATTGCAGCCCCGAAAGAACAAACTCTTAACGACTTCTGGAGAATGATATGGGAACAGAACTGTGGAAAAATTGTCATGCTCACCAACCTGGTGGAAAAAACAAAGGTATTGTCAGTTTTGTTTTGAGTGAGTGAGTAAGTTAATATTGAACTTCACATCGGCAATATTTCAGCCATATCGTGACGAGAACATATTTGACATTGAAATGGAATAGATGTATATTATAAAAACCTGTCGACGAAGGACAGTAAAACAACTAGAATATCACAATTACAACTAAACTAGTGTGGAAAAGTCAAAACTGATAGCACTATTTGGACAATTCAATGTAAAAATGGGCTAAAGATCGCCAACAACTCAAGGTAGATCACCATACTAGGGACCACTTTTGTTTTGAAGACACGCATCGCTGCTTCTGTTCAATTCACGTTTCCCATGAATTCACGTTTCCCAAACTTGTACTATCTATTGTCATTAAATGTTTTATTTGATCTTTTACCATAATGTATGCACATTTAACCTGCCTTCGCATGTGTTTGACACGAGTGGGTTGATAACCAAGTCGCGTACACCTGGTATCTTCATCATTCCATAGTGATTCGTAAACACAAGATTTTCTTATAGTCAGAATGAACAGTGGACTGCCTTTGGTAGAGATTTCATGGGGAGATGGAAAATGTTTCGTTGGTTTTAATCATGTATGTATATGTTACAGTCAATGTTTACAATCAGGCAATGGGTACAATGACTAAAAAAACCAGTCAATGTGTACATTGCCTGATTCACTCAGTCATTGTGTACATTGCCTGATTCACTCAGTCATTGTGTACATTGCCTGATTCACTCAGTCATTGTGTACATTGCCTGATTCACTCAGTCATTGTGTACATTGCCTGATTCACTCAGTCATTGTGTACATTGCCTGATTCACTCATTGTGTACAGTCATTCACTGTCATTGTGTACATTGCCTGATTCACTCAGTCATTGTGTACATTGCCTGATTCACTGTACAGTCATTGTGTACATTGCCTGATTCACTCAGTCATTGTGTACATTGCCTGATTTGTGTACATTCAGTCATTGTGTACATTGCCTGATTCACTCAGTCATTGTGTACATTGCCTGATTCACTCAGTCATTGTGTACATTGCCTGATTCACTCAGTCATTGTGTACATTGCCTGATTCACTCAGTCATTGTGTACATTGCCTGATTCACTCAGTCATTGTGTACATTGCCTGATTCACTCAGTCATTGTGTACATTGCCTGATTCACTCAGTCATTGTGTACATTGCCTGATTCACTCAGTCATTGTGTACATTGCCTGATTCACTCAGTCATTGTGTACATTGCCTGATTCACTCAGTCATTGTGTACATTGCCTGATTCACTCAGTCATTGTGTACATTGCCTGATTCACTCAGTCATTGTGTACATTGCCTGATTCACTCAGTCATTGTGTACATTGCCTGATTCACTCAGTCATTGTGTACATTGCCTGATTCACTCAGTCATTCACCAGTCATTGTGTACATTGCCTGATTCACTCAGTCATTGTGTACATTGCCTGATTCACTCAGTCATTGTGTACATTGCCTGATTCACTCAGTCATTGTGTACATTGCCTGATTCACTCAGTCATTGTGTACATTGCCTGATTCACTCAGTCATTGTGTACATTGCCTGATTCACTCAGTCATTGTGTACATTGCCTGATTCACTCAGTCATTGTGTACATTGCCTGATTCACTCAGTCATTGTGTACATTGCCTGATTCACTCAGTCATTGTGTACATTGCCTGATTCACTCAGTCATTGTGTACATTGCCTGATTCACTCAGTCATTGTGTACAGTGTCTGATTCACTCAGTCATTGTGTACATTGCCTGATTCACTCAGTCATTGTGTACAGTGTCTGATTCACTCAGTCATTGTGTACATTGCCTGATTCACTCAGTCATTGTGTACATTGCCTGATTCACTCAGTCATTGTGTACATTGCCTGATTCACTCAGTCATTGTGTACATTGCCTGATTCACTCAGTCATTGTGTACAGTGTCTAACATTTCCAGGCATTGTGTACATTGCCAGAATTCTCAGTGATCAAAGAACGAAACCCATGCTAATCTCGTCTTCTCAATAATCCCTGTTCAACAATCAGTCAGTCTGTACAATAATTGGGCTAATTAATCAGGCAATATACACAATGACTGAGTGAATCAGGCAATGTACACAATGACTGAGTGAATCAGGCAATGTACACAATGACTGAGTGAATCAGGCAATGTACACAATGACTGAGTGAATCAGGCAATGTACACAATGACTGAGTGAATCAGACAATGTACACAATGACTGAGTGAATCAGACAATGTACACAATGACTGAGTGAATCAGGCAATGTACACAATGACTGAGTGAATCAGGCAATGTACACAATGACTGAGTGAATCAGGCAATGTACACAATGACTGAGTGAATCAGACAATGTACACAATGACTGAGTGAATCAGGCAATGTACACAATGACTGAGTGAATCAGGCAATGTACACAATGACTGAGTGAATCAGGCAATGTACACAATGACTGAGTGAATCAGGCAATGTACACATGGAGTGGTTATTTCAGTCAATGTTCACATTGCCTAATTGTAGACATTGACTGTAGCATATTGTGTTGTATGTACTGTGTTATTTAAACAGGTAAATGTTAAGTTTGTATATGTCACGTGCATCTACATGTATTACTTGTACTGGTGAAGTGTGAAGTGCTCCTATGCCATATGTGAAGTATCGACATGTACTATTGGTACAATTGAAGCAAGTGTCTATATGAGGTACACACTGTCATATGTGTTGTAGGTCCATGTATTTTTTGTAGAGGTAAAGTGTGAAGAGTTTCTATGTCACGTGTGTTGTAGGTCCATATATTTTTGTCCAGGTGAAGTGCGAAGAGTTGCCACGTGTATCTATATGTATGTTTTGTACAGGTAAAGTGTGAAAGGTACTGGAATACCACGAAGCCACTCCAAGCTGGGGTATTTACTGTCACTGTCGCGAGAGAAGAAAAGAGGTCACACTGGGTCATTAGAGAATTCATGGTCCAAAACAAGGAGGTAAATACAAAAAACAAACATGATAATTGTGTATACAACCTATGTCTTTAAAATATATGTAATAATGAGTGAGTGAGTTTAGTTTTACGCCGCACTCCGCAATATCCCAGCTATATGGCGGCGGTCTGTAAATAATCGAGTCTGGACCAGACAATCCAGTGATCAACAGCATGAGCATCGATCTGCGCAATTGGGAACCGATGACATGTGTCAACCAAGTCAGCGAAACTGACCATCCGATCCCGTTAGTCGCCTCTTACGACAAGCATAGTCGCTTTTTATGGCAAGCACATGGGTTGCTGAAGACCTATTCTATCCCGGATCTTCACGGGTCATATATGTAATAATGCCCTTCAGGGAGCGACTAAAGTGTTTAAATCGTCTTATGTCGTCCTAAAACAAATCGGGATGGTATGATGTTTTCTATGCCAATGCACGTCCTGAACTCACGTTCGAGTTATATCCATCCATGATTCCTGTATCGTGTATCATGTATGTAGCGTGTAAAGTCTGATTTTACTATAAATAATAACCCAGGAGTAATGCCATGTGTGGGTATTTTATACACAAACGGAATCGGGCTTTGACTTAATAGTACCACAACAAATCTGAACATTCATAAGATTCACCTCCTAAATGTTTACTAGACCCGACATACGAAGACCGTCCTACACTTTCACTTCACGGCCTGGCCTGACCATGGTGTACCGGAAGTGACTTCACTTATGGAGTTTGTTTGGGGAGTGCGGAAAACAAAGTCATCGTTACAAGGTCCTCTGCTTGTTCACTGCAGGTGACGCGTTCCACCCAGGAAACTTTAAGTTCAATAATCAATATATTGATCCATGTGTGTCATCGAGTCAGCGTTGATAATATCTAGCAAGTACACCCAGCTAGGGTCCATGCAGGAAGCAAAAGTATAAGTTCCCATGGTCCCTGGTATGGTGATTTTCCTTCAGCTGCTGGCGATCTCTCGCCTGTTTTTATTTTGCATTGTTTTCTGTAATAATAGAGTTTATTACAACTTACTAGTTTTGAACTAAATCTGTGATAATCTTGTATTTTTACTGTCCTTCGACGACAGGTTTATAAGGTGCAGATGTATTTTGGCTTAATGTATAGATTGTTCTCGTCACGATATGGCTGAAATACTGCCGATGTGACGTTAAATATTAACTCACTCACTAACTCCACCAAGTACACAAATCGATTATACTTGTGTTTATGGTATAGAAAATAAAACCATCTGTTTCGATATATGTTTGACCTTGTAGGTATAATGTTATTTCCGTCTATTCCAAACATCCATTTATTCCATTAACTAACATTGAGGTTTAAGCACTCATAGATGATTCCACATTTGTTAGCTTCAATGGCCAACGGATACGTTAGCCATGACACATAGCAGGTGATTTCCATGAGGAAAGTCTGAAACTGTATCATTCTTTCTGAAGCATCATGTAAAATACCGTTAACCGTTTGATGCCAAATTGCCTAATGTGACATGAACGTGTCTGTGTAGTGCGGGCATTGGCCGGACTGGGACGTACATCTCTATAGACTACTCTATGGACAGAGGTCAGTCGGAACAGAAACTAGATGTGTTCGGGTATGTGTCCGAGCTGCGGGCCCAGAGGAAGGACATGATACAGACCCACGTAAGTATCCATAACAGTAGTATGTGAATACAGTTTTACGCCGCGTTCAACAATATTCCATAAAATCAAGGCTTGATATCCTCTGTTGACAATATGCATCACTTTGTCAGGCATCACGACTTATGCATCCAACTCCGCTCTACAGAGTATATAAAACAATGCATATAATGGTTGTTGATTGCACTAACTGCAACCCTAATTGTGTTTTACGCCGCACAGGAGCAGTATAAATGTGTCCACCTTGCCCTGGCTGAAGCATTCTCCATGGGCGACACAACACTGTCGGGTCAGAAGTTCCGGGAGAGGAGGAGCCAGGATGGGATGTTCCAGATAGGAAACTGCTCAGGGGCGAAACTGCTAAAGGTAGAGTCTGACAGGAACTCTAGGATGCAGTCACTTCTTGTATCCTTCTTCTTTTACCCTGTACTGTTGATGCATGTCCACAAGTGCTAATTCTTGAACGCGACTTTAAGCACCTCACGTCCTTCAGACCTCGCGCGACAGTGTCTACGTACATTTCACATTACCTAACTATAACCCATCCTCTCCTCACGCCACCTCCACTGTGACTTGTATAGTACTAAAATATTGGTGAACATTTCTTCTTTGTGGCATGCATTACAGAGCTACAATCTGGCTGATGTGAACTCGACCATACTTTGTCAGGATCCTAGTCTGTTAATGCAAAGCTTCATTGTTAGGAACATGTGATACAGTAACACCTCATTAGACTGGATCCTGTTTCTTCTGATTGACATGATTGTTAATCCTGAACTGTATCTTCCGGACGATTACTGCCTAGTTGAATACATGTATACAAGGGATATTATCCGTTCCTGTAGTTTGTTTATCCGGAAATTAACTATTCCGAACGCTTTTACCAGATACAATATCGGCCAAACTAATGTTGTCTCACCGTAGTATTACCTCATCCCGTATTGATGAACTGGCGATTGTCATTCCATTTGTTTCAGGTTCTCAACAGTGAACGGAAAGGATCAGTGACCACAGGTAATATACATCTTTTATTTGATTCACAGTCACGTACTTATGGTGTAGTACGTGCACAATGGCCCCTGCTTTTGTGATTATGTTTCTTATCATTATGACACATTTTTATTGCTTATATTTTCAATAATATGAGAAGTGTGTATTGTAAAGGTAACGCTATTTTTCAGGGCATTATCATTTGCAGAAGCCCGAGGTCTTTCATTAACTGCCCGACGAAGGAGGCAATCTTGTCAGTAAGAAAGACCGAGGGCTTCTGCAAATGATAATGCCCTGAAAAATAGCGTTACCGTTATTATAGCTAAAATGGATGGAATCTTTAATAAAATAAAAACAAACAACGGTATCGGTTTTGAAGCATTTACTGCTAACAACAAACGACGGAGGTCACTGACCCACTTTTTACAAAGATGGAAACGTCATGGAACATAATAGATGACGTCACTATTGAGCGTGACGACATTCGACCTTGGCCTTTGCCCATACTACCAGCCCCCAATTTTTTCAGTGGTCAACAACGTTAGAGTTCCACTCGACGTTTTCACTGCTGCATGTTGTAATTTATGGTACAATTGCTAAGGTTGGCATAGGCAAGAAAGTGCATAATGGAACTAGAAACAGGTTCATGTGACGAATGTGAGCCAAGATCAAACGAGCCGTAGGACATGCCGACGTGTCGGTGACGTGAGACATGACGTCATGGGTGATTGAACATCAAGAGCTGATCTCCCAGTGGCCCGCTCATTTCTGATAACATCCGAATTTAGAACTAGTTTTAGTCACGATATGGCTGAAATATTGCCGATGTGACTTTAAATCTTAACTCACTCACTCACTCACTCTGATAACATGCGGGCGTTTTAATGATCATTCTATCCATTTTATCTACAATGTGTCACAGTGACATGTGCTTGTGACTGTTCATAGCAAGGTGTCGTGAGGTTATACCAAGACACGCAATTGCCCTACTTCCCTAACTGATTACAAATCAGTTGATATTATTTCCTCTTTAATTGCTGTAAGTAAATGTACTCATGCGCAGTATTGAATCCACCAAGTGGAGCCACCAGCTATAGATAGATATACTTCCATCCCCAGGTAAAGGTGGTCAGTTGTGGGTAAATGCCAAACAGGATCACTATGCTGTATACGTGCAGGTGAGTCTGGAGTTATCTCCCTTCAGTCAGCCCGTTCTCTTATAATATCCCAATTAATGTATTTCATAGTTGAAAACGTTATTGCTTTTTACAATCCGAACATTCTCCAATTTACAATTCATAAATTATCCACAATGTGCAAGAAAAACATTATATCATAGGATAAGAGACAAATGTTTCAGACATCGGCTCATCAATATAAATCCTCTGCATCAGTCGTTTGTTTTCTCAAAAGTATACATTTTACCCGGAGTGATATGAAACAGAATGGTTGAGAACATTTTACAGAATCGAGTCGTGTGGGTTGGTAATTATTGGCGGAAGAAAAATATATAGTACTCCCAATTGCAAGTATTACTTTCAATAATATGTCTTGTAACATTATACTTGCCTCTTTAGGGACACATTTACCCTTACCTGTGTTGCCTAACAAAGCAGACTATGTCCTCTGTCCAGAAACGTCAGCCAATGTTTTATCAGAAAGATATTACCTTCTATATTTGCACTGAAACAAACAAAACAAACAAACAAACATAATATTAGAGTTGTATATCTGTGTCAGTCCCACCTGAGTAAGTTCGGCTACGTGGTGAGCGAGGTGCCCTCAGTGGACAACGCAGAAGGATTCTGGAAGATGGTGGAGGACAATGAGTCGGACGTCGTCGTGTTCCTGCCAGAAGCCAGCAAGGTAGTTATACGCTTCCAGTGTCAGTACTAGTTCAGTGTTTTAGTGACATCAAGCTGGACGTGACAGCTAAATGTTAAACTTTGTGTGCGAGGAAAGCCAAAACAGGCCATGTTTGATGTGGATAATGGCATGCTCGAACTTATACGCGGGTCGTGCCCCAAGGGACAGTACTCTTTCCAACATTTTCGAGGGCAGGGCATGGACCAACCTTGTCACCTATCAACATTAATTCAATACCAGATGTATTCCCATGGGCATGCTAAACTAGAAATGTTTATACCGACATCATATTTTGAACAAGGGCGTATTCTTTTTCATTACCAGGAGTGGGTGAGTGAGTATGGTTGTAATGGGTCAATAGCATTTATTATCACAGAGATAGTGCTCTGAATAATCTAGGATGACATGATGTTTTTCCGCCAGTATCTGCCCAGTGTGTGCCCGGAGGGGGAGTCAACAGACTGGAGCTCCATATCAGTGAGGAGCAGGAAGGTGGTCCTCGTCGACAATCAGCTGACGTGTCGGAACATACAGCTTCGAGCAGAGGTACATCCATGCAGCATACATTGAATAAACACTCCTGAGCATTTCCGTCCCTTCCAACCTATGTTCATTGCAACCATATGGATTGGATTGTCAAGCTCGGTCACAAACTGTAACCATGGCAACCTTATATCAATCACTGGTCAATCTGGTCCAGACACAGTTACTTAGGGCTCCCGTTAAATAGTTTGAAATCTACTTATTGCTGCAAAAACTTCGATTATACAAAATACTTGACAGTCATGACGCGTTCTGAAACTTGTCAGTAAATCAGTGCTGAGAGGGATTCCTGTTTTATTTAGTTTATATTCAATGACATTCCGAATTTTAAAAAAATAGAAATACAGTTTGGGGGAGACTCTTAACTGCTATTGACACGGTCTTGTCACCTTGAGCGACGGTGGGCTCGAACCCTATTTGGGGCCTGGCATACATAGCCTCGAGGTTTCGTTCCACTACAACTGACTCGCCTTGATGAAACTGAATATATTTGGACCACACTCAATCAATCACTACTTATCTCGTAACAGAGCAACCCTAACGCCAGCCTGAATGTCAACGTCTATTCAACATCTTCGTCGTCGAAACTGACTTTGAGTGACTTTCCAGAGGTCATCCAACAGCTAGATCGTCCAAGAAACGCCAAAGGAGATCCACATCCGATGACCGTCGTGTTTGGGTACAGTACACGTAGATACAGAACACCAAGCCAGCTCCAGTGCAATACTAATTGCAATACTAATTTCATGATATCTCTTGATTTTTCCATCACAAGGGATAAATATTTCAATGTCAAAACAGTGAGGGATCTTTTTAATATTTTTTTCAATTATCATTAAATCATTGAATTTTTAAAAGAAATAGAATTACTAGATAAATTTTGATACATGAGGTTTGTAAATAGATAAATATTTTATCAGTAGTAGTTTAGATTAGTAACTGAGATTGTTAGTGGCTGTACCCTCAAAGGGGATTGAGGTATTGTAAAGGTATTGTCCTCCTGAGAGGGTACGTAAGTCCCAAAACTTTCAAAGTTAAATTTAAGCTTACCAAATTTTGAAACGTAGTATTTTTGTTCTTTTAGAATTCGGCAAAATCTTCCTACAATCGCCAGCGGCTGAGGGGATGGTGTAAATCCAACTAGGGTCCATGCAGGTAGCAAAGGCACTGTAGGTCGCCATGGTCCCTAGTATGGTGATCTACCTTCAGTTGTTGGCGATCTATAGCCCATTTGTACATTGTATTGTCCAAAAATAATTTCCACTTTTAAAGATATATGCTAGCTAGTTTTAACTCAATCTGTGATAGTCCAGTGATTTTACTGTCCTTCATTGACAGGGTTTTATATATTATATGTATGTATTATGAATTAAGAACTAGTTTTAGTCACGATGTGGCTGAAATATTGCCGATGTGCCTTTAAATCTTAACTCACTCATTCACTCACTCATGAGATCTCTTGGCATTCCCTACATTAACTGGGTCCAGCCTGTCAATGCCATATTGTACTGTCATGAACGACTGGAGAGCGTATGTCTTGGGAATGCTCCCTATTGTACGTTATTTACTCCCTCTGATCTCTTGTAGACCAAAGGAAAAACAAGTGGCCGTGATGTTTTGCGTCATCAACAACATCCTTCAACGCTGTTGCCATGACGATGAAGTTGAGATTGTCAACAACATCAGGAGACTATCATATTTGTTCACACACGATGTGACTAAGGTAGAGTAATCTCCCTTGTATACGAACTCGGTTCAGATGGCTTTCAGTGTAGCATTCAGAATAATATCTTAAATTTTGATTTTTCAAATACACTTTCTGTTCTTTACAGTGGACATGCGTAGCGTCTTCTAACGCGAGTTTATTGATCTATCACAAATGACGGAAGGTCGTGCTGAAATAGGAAATCATCAATATGCATTTATAGGTCCGGGTCTGAATGGATCCAGGAGTCCAGCAGGCTGATAAGGATCATGACAGCCATGCGTGATCTCACTATCGTTGGGTTGATAGTTGTCAGAGCTATCAACATCCGTTTGCCAGATGGGACTTCGGTTATTTAAAAGCTGCCCTTTGGCTTATATATAGAATATCGTTTCAATACGTGGGGATTTCTTTGACCAGTATGAAACAGTTGTCCGTAAACTTGTCTTGCTGCAAGGTTCAATACAAATTCAGAGCACGCCTTGCTGCCACACAATCAGCACTCTAATATGTCCATTTAAGGCAGATAACCATGTATGCCGTACGCGGACAACTTCCGCATCTGATTGTCGCAAATTTATCCATCAACACTACCTTGATGAATAACTGTATGTTGTAATGCTATTTCATCATGTGTTTCTGGTGTCTCGCTGTCAGCTTCTCCACACAAGTGTTTTGTATGATGTTTTCAGAGTGACCTTGCCACCCTGTACAGCATTGTCCCATGTCCAGGTGACGAGGACATGGGCTCGGTGTATGTCAACGTTAGCGATGTGTGACGGTGGACGAGGATACATAGAACAGGACAAATAGCGAGGACTCTGGGAAACACGCACGTTTGCGGCGTGAAGTATTTGCTATTCTTATCAGGCCTCTGACCTGGCGTTGGATAACAAACATTTTGTCTGCAACAGACAAATTATTACATCCCTGTTCGTCCCACCCTCTAACTATCACAACAACCACCTCTAGTTGCCGTAACCATTGTGAAATGATCTGTTCCACAAACTCTTTAGCAAAGATGAAGCCTTGTTTAATTAACGTCAGTACATAAGTGTATTTGTAATGTACTGCGGATGTGTGTGGACTTGAAACAATTCCTAAAACACATTTTGTGTGAAGATATGTTTGGAAAAAGCGAAATTCTTTGACTGTGTAAGAAGACATTGATGTACGCCCTCTGAAAGGGCAACCATAATATAATGCATGCATTTCACAGATTCTGTGCTCACATCCATTACCCGTGTTACAGTAATATAACCGTGTGTGTTCCGTGTTATCCGTATATTATCTGTACATAAAGCTGTGAAATGATACTACACACGGAAATACGTGTACATACGTCTATTGTATCGGGAATGATATACTGTGTATATACGTCTATTGAATCGGGAATGCTATACTGTGTATATACGTCTATTGTATCGGGAATGCTACACTGTGTATATACGTTTATTGTATCGGGAATAATATGCTCTGTGTATATACGTCTATTGTATCGGGAACGCTATGGTCTGTGTACATACGTCTATTGTATCGGGAACGCTATGGTCTGTGTACATACGTCTATTGTATCGGGAATGCTATACTGTGTATATACGTCTATTGTATCGGGAATGCTATGCTCTATGTACATACGTCTATTGTATCGGGAATGCTATGCTCTATGTACATACGTCTGTTGTAACGGGAATGCTATGGTCTGTGTACATACGTCTGTTGTATCGGGAACGCTATGGTCTGTGTACATACGTCTATTGTATCGGGAATGCTATACTGTGTATATACGTCTATTGTATCGGGAATGCTATGCTCTATGTACATACGTCTATTGTATCGGGAATGCTATGCTCTATGTACATACGTCTGTTGTATCGGGAATGCTATGCTCTGTGTATATACGTCTATTGTATCGGGAATGCTATGGTCTGTGTACATACGTCTGCTGTATCGGGAATGCTATGCTCTGTATATATACGTCTATTGTATCGGGAATGCTATGCTCTATGTACATACGTCTGTTGCAACGGGAATGCTATGGTCTGTGTACATACGTCTGTTGTATCGGGAACGCTATGGTCTGTGTACATACGTCTATTGTATCGGGAATGCTATACTGTGTATATACGTCTATTGTATCGGGAATGCTATGCTCCATGTACATACGTCTATTGTATCGGGAATGCTATGCTCTATGTACATACGTCTGTTGTATCGGGAATGCTATGCTCTGTGTATATACGTCTATTGTATCGGGAATGCTATGCTCTATGTACATACGTCTATTGTATCGGGAATGCTATGCTCTGTATATATACGTCTATTGTATCGGGAATGCTATGCACTATGTACATACGTCTGCTGTATCGGGAATGCTATGCTCTGTATATATACGTCTATTGTATCGGGAATGCTATGCTCTATGTACATACGTCTGCTGTATCGGGAATGCTATGCTCTGTATATATACTTCTATTGTATCGGGAATGCTATGCTCTATGTACATACGTCTGCTGTATCGGGAATGCTATGCTCTGTATATATACGTCTATTGTATCAGGAATGCTATGCTCTATGTACATACGTCTGTTGTATCGGGAATGCTATGCTCTGTGTATATACGTCTATTGTATCGGGAATGCTATGCTCTGTATATATACGTTTATTGTATCGGGAATGATATACTGTGTATATATGTTTATAGTATCGGGAATGCTATACTGTGTATATATGTTTATAGTATCGGGAATGCTATACTGTGTACATACGTTTATTGTATCGGGAATGCTCTGCTCTGTGATGAAGGTTTACAGTTCTTATTTACACAAAGTTTTACATTCATTTAAATATAATTTTTCAATAAATTTGACTATTTTGTATCAAATGCTAAACTTACAATCACGAGTTTTTCAGAATTATTCAGATGAGGAAAACTATGAATGCATGTTTAGGCAAGGTAAACATCATCCATTCAACGTAACTACAACCTGCAGGCTTCTCCCACACACACCACAGTAACACGTGACGAATACGAATCATGCCTACCGTCTTCTAACGCTAGTTTATTTACGAATACTGAATAGCAATGCTGATGAAAACACATTGTTTTCCTGACACTTTCTCATAAAATAAATATACAGATATGACTTGTAATTGTTCTAAAGATATTTATTCCCTGAAACTTAATAAATTGACCAATTAAGCAAAGCTAAAGTGTTTAGTCAACCACACGAATCTACTTGAAAGGTACTGATTCTAAAAATTCCCAAACTGTCTTTTTGAAGGATATTTTAGGTGTCTCCGTATTTGTTAGGTATTTGGTTGTGTGGGTAACTCTACATCTCTTATCCTATTCACGTAGATCACTGCTGAGGATGTTAATAACTGGTTCGCGTTGTCTGACGTCGAGTACTCAACGACCAGTTTGGATGGTCGTTAAACCACAAACAATGTTGACCAGCGATATGTTATATTGGTTTCTGTTATATCGAACAGACGGATATATCGAGCTCCCCTCGAACTGATTTCGACACTGCGGTATCCAAATGTTTTCGACACAGTCCTCCTAGAACTGTGATGCCTCTGACACAGTCTGTACTCTGTCTCTCTGTATAATACACATTCATCACATGCATTCACTGCTTTGCTCATTCTCACATTTATGGTGTTTACACAGTGGTAATCTGGACAACCATACATGCGTCAGTTATCACATATATTTACTCAATGACGCTGCTCACAAGTAGATAAATATGCTGAATAACGTATTCAGGATCATAAACATGTATACCAAAAGGTTCCGCTTTCTATGCATCGTGTGCCGGCGCTTTGAAACACACGTTCACGTTTTTTCCTCATGTTTTACTTCCTATTACCTACAACTGATATCAGCATCTCGTTGACGTAACGCCATTAGCCCTCCTCCTCCACCATGTCGGTTGTACTTCACAGTGGCGGGATCCTTGGCTTCTGTATAGCCCAAGGACTTTCAAGTACCGCGGGTAAGATTTCATCTTTGTCATACTTGTGTTTTCACATAACGACGTCTTCACAGGACTTCAGTAATCAATTCATGTATGTCTCCTCATTGTTTCTTCTACATCCTGAGTAATTTGTCGAGAGAAAGATTATGCTCTGACTTGGTACAGGGATTTCGCCGATATCTTAATGTCAACTTGATGTCGTAAATTCAAATTAGAGAAAATGGACATGTATTTTGTCTGTCAGTTTAAGAACTTGCTTAAAATTGCTCACCGCTCACTGATATACTTGTGTTTGTGAATGGTGAACTATCATGAACGACTGACATAAGAGCGAATTATGGTAAAAGTATTTCTCAGCTCCATGCTTGACATAACAGTGCTTGATGAAATAAGACAAACGTACTGATTGATTTATTGCTTGACGTAAGAGCGAATAGTGAAGCAAAATAGACGTGTAGATGAGCTTAATGCTTGACATAACCGTGAACAAATGCGCACGAGCTTTGGTCGGTTTTATCTTCATTCAATTGACTATGACTTGACAAAAGAATATGTATGATACTTTCTAACATAATAGAAAAGATACAACGGTGTGGTTTAGGAGGTAGTACATAGGCAAATTTCAATGCCCATCCTACATGACAACGACAAGTAAAAACTGGACCAGGATCAGACAGACCAGTGACTGAGTGAGTGAGTTTAGTTTTACGCCGCACTCAGCAATACTCCAGCTATATGGCGGACGTCCAACTACGTCAAAATAAAATGTCCTGGATTTGCGTTCTTCGGTCATGTCCTATTAAAGTACACAGACTACTGGGGACGTATTCTGACCGAAATCCTGAACTGACATATGTAAGCTATTGATAAACCATGTACGTCATTGTCAACCTCCGAGAGAAGGAAATCTGCATGGTGCTAGGGAACACTGATTGGCTGAATAATATCTGGATCCTATGTTAGCTTCTTGTCATCACTGTGCTCAGATCCTACTTTCCTCATCCATGACTTCAGCAACACGCAGTCACTGATCTGTAACAATACACCAATACACATCTGGATGTCTCATCACTCGTTTTACAATAGCTGGAAACCATGTGTATAAGTGAATGTCCATGTCAAATGAGGGAGTTCAACCATCCTCTGTCATTACTGGCAGCTAGTGTAGGTTAACCTATTCGGTTCTAGAAACTCTGAAATTAGGCTTACCGACATGGCCTTCCTGGAGAAATAGAACATGGAGTTCAACTGGCTTTAAGTTTTCTTCTATGATGATTTCAGCCTGAATTAATTAAAAGACTTAAAGTGATTTGAAGTAGCACATATATTTAATGCAGAGTGTACATTACAATGTGATCTGTCTATACAGTTCCCACACAGACGCGGACAATCTGCTCTGGTAAGTTCGGTCCGATGTGCTCCCTGACCTGTGGTCATTGTGTGGATGACGAGCCATGCCACCAGGACACGGGCGTCTGTTTGAGAGGCTGCCAGGATGGTTTCACTGGACACAGCTGTAAGGAGACGCTGGACTCGACCAGCCCCTTCCAGGCCGGACTAGCTGGCGGGGTTGTCATGGTGGTTGCTGTCCTGGTCATCGCTGCGATTGTTGTAGGTGCTCACTATCTGTGGAAGAAAAGACAGAGGTAACATACATCCATAAAACGCAGTGCACCTAAAACACAAGCGTTGTCTTAGTGAAACGATGACAGTAAATAAACAAACCACAAAGGCCTGCAATAACCAGTTCAAGACACACGAAGGGCAGTATGAGCAAACTCACATGTAACGGGAGACATTGAAACAAAAGTAGGTTTGGCTGTGATGTTACACGGCAGCCCACAGGGAACGAGTCTGGTCCCTGAAAACCTTGGCCTCTGTGCATGACGCACACATAAAAAATCTCTGCTAAAAGAAGAGTCGATTGAACAATTGTCGCATATCATAAGCATATTTGTTTCAGCAGTATTACAGCTGTAAGATGTTGTTTGTAATCAACTTACCAGCTAGTCCAATGTAATCGCCTCATCTAACTGAGATCCCCACGGCACCATGTTATAGCTTTTGACATTTTTACTTAATATTTTGATGCAGAAGCAGAGAAAACGGGAACCTTGAATCAGGATCACCTCCGTCTAAGGCTAAAGTGTCAACACGCATCTTGTCCGTGTTCAGGAAGGGTAGTGACAACAGGAACACGTATGTGGACGAGGAGTTGGTAAAAGGAGCACGGGGACAAAACACGTAATTCTGATTACCATTTTCCACAGCGCACATAATCCCACAGAACATCTAGCACGTGTGTGTGTGTGTGTGTGTGTGTGTGTGTGTGTGTGTGTGTGTGTGTGTGTGTGTGTGTGTGTGTGTGTGTGTGTGTGTGTGTGTGTGTGTGTGTGTGTGTGTGTGTGTGTGTGTGTGTGTGTGTGTGTGTGAGTGAGATTGGGAGAGAGAGAGGAGTGGGGAACGGGTTGGGAAGGGTGGGAGGGAACTGACTTGGAGGAAAATTATATTTCCCTGGAATTTTTGGTGACATATTTCTAAAAAACAAAGCAGGCACCCTTCCAAGCGTCACAATGGCCTCCTTGTGCGTGCTGTGTATATGACCCGTTGTCAGTAATGCCAGCCACTTTGGGCATGCCACTCCTTTGCTCTGTAGTGATTAGAATTACGTCTGAAAGAAAGAAATTGTTATAGGCTTATGTCCTATCATTTCGAGTTGTCATGGTTTTCTTGATCTGTTACATACATTCAGAACTGACACGAAGCAAAAATCAGAAATGACGTCAACACAGCCCAAGACTGTTGCCTTCGCAGACGAAGCTGGAGCCAACAGCGTTGAGGACAAGAGCGCTCAGAAGGGTTCAACACAGGCAAAAGCTGCCCCAGTTGCTGCAGACGACATGTATGAGGTACCGGTCACCCCCGACAACCTGAAAGTGGACATGAACGTGGACATGCCCGGCGACCACAACGTGGAGGACAGCGAGGGTAAGGTTGAGGATCCAACTCAGGATACCTGGTACGATGTGCCGCCTCCTCCTCTGCCGTTTACTGAAGATATCTACCTCAACGTGGGCAACACAGAAGATGTAGATGACGCCGCCTCCAGGAGTGATGATTCTTCCTATGAGATACCTGTCTCATCATTGACTGGCCAGAATCAGGCTTAGACTGGGAACTGCAGTTCCTGTACATGTGTGATATTGTAGCTACTTATGAAGTGAGGTGGATTGGAGATCTCAACAGAGATCTATCGCCCAGTGGTTTAAACGATCACTCATTACGATGACTTCATCTCCAACATCGGTTCAGTTCGTACAACAATAATTATTATTGTCCTATGAATATTAATACTGAACTGTTATTAGTGTTTTGTGTCTACAAGGGGGAAATATTGTGACGTTCTCCGGGATTTCTCCACAATTTCCACTGAATAATCCATGTATATCCCATTGCTCTGTTATTGTGTACACTTATCTCATTTAGTTTTGAATTATTTGTGAATGCCATTTGGTTATTTTCTTCTATGCGGTTAGATAGCTTCCTGCATGTGACTGAATAGTTATATCTACAGAATATAACACTGTGAGCTCAAGGTGTGTTTTTGCACACTGCATGTACTGAGCTACGTTCCTATCCACAGGTCACAGGCTCATTGTGTGTCTTTGTGTGTCCACGAAATGGTGGTCAGTGGAACATCCACAATAACAATGTGCAACTGACCAGTCACTGCCCATTCATTTGGACGTACATCATCATGTTGTACCAGCAGGACGTTGGGGTAGCCTAGTGGTTAAAGCGTTCCCTCGTTCGCAGAAGACCGTGTTCGATTCCCCACATGGACACAATCTGTGAAGCCCATTTCTGGTTTCCCCCGCCTCGATATTGCTGGGATATTGCTAAAAGCGGCGTAAAACCATACTCATTCAATGTGGTCTGTCTCTAGCCAGCCATTCATTACTTACTTCGTCCCTGTTGGGACATAATCCTGCAACCATTCATTAGTGCATGTGTGGGTGTAGGTAGCAAATATTATAATGTCTCATATAATCAATATGCTCTCATTGAACAGATGGTCATGGTGACATGATCAGACCCCGTATTCGTATATTCCTACCTAACGGATTTGTTTATGTGAAATAATCTTTCGTTTAACGTATTGTAACATTATTCTTTGAAGATTAACCTATTGTATACAACCGAATATTTTGTGGTTGTTCTCGCTAGTTTGTATTCAGTGGAATAAAAAAATATAAGCTTATTTAATTGTATTTTTGTTTTCCTAAACCAGTTAGTTAAAGTCTCCCTTCACGCCACGCACTACCCCGCCCCCGGAAGTGACATATATTCCCATATTACTACGATATACTCATGATTTAACTTTACCCAAACTAGACTAGAAGCGGTTGACTGGCGTTAAGCCAAATACAACAGCTGAATACACTATCGGTTATAAAGAGATCATGAATCATCCATTCTAAAGAATAGAGAGTCGAGCTTGTTTGACCGGTTTCCTGTGTGACCGATACGTCATGCAGCTCTTTATCAACACCGATCTAAATACGCTGACGCTATCGTTTTCACTGTTTGCACAATACATACTCAGGCTTTGCCACACATGTAATACACGTCCTTGTTAGTGTGAGAGGTTGTTTATGCGAGCCTTCGTGTATAGAAAGCCATGTATTACGCCCGATTTACTTCCTTCTTTCTTGACTCGGTTATGCTCTGACATACAGCTCGGTAAGGTGTACAGAGTTCTCTCCCTTAACCATCCAGTATGCTCTGATAATGCGCTCGGTATTCGACTGATGGTAATTGTTTTCGTCTGAAACAAACCCATGCTCAGTTTCCCTGAAGTTGTACCCGTCCAAGTACAGTGTTTCGTCCGGCTTGCCGCCCCCCATCTTGGTATATTGATTGATTGTCGTTTAACGCCGCACTCAGCAAAATTCCAGCTTTATTGCGGCGGTCTGTAAATATTCGAGTTTGTACCAGGTAATCCAATGATCAACAGCATGAGCATCGATCTACGCAACTGGAAACCGATGACATGTGTCAACCAAACCAGCGAGCCTGACCACCCGATCCCGTTAGTCGCCTCTTACGATAAGCATGGGTTACTGAAGACCAATTCTAACCCGGGTCTTCACGGTTAACTCCGTGGTATAGAATGTGAATGTTCTCAAAGCGCCGTTAAGCACAACACACACTGACAAGTGATTACATGGTCTGTGTATGTGCATTGTGAGGCATTCAGCGTTTAGAACAAGGAAACAATCGGAGGGCGAAGCAATTAAAAACATCTTTGTAAATGATCCAATTTGAAATGTTCACAATATTATGAAAATCAAATAGTTAAGCTCAATGATATTCTATTGATATTTACAACAGTAAAGCCGAATTCTGTCTTAAATATTTGATTTTCCAAATTGTATACCACTGTCTCTGACAAACTTCAGGTAAAACGTTATTCCTTGATCAGTTGATCCTTTAGTTGATAGCTATAGCTATAGCTATATATCTGACACAGAGGTTCGGAACGACAGTAATGCAGCTTCACCGCTAATATTAGGTGGTTCCTGTGAATCAGTAGGTGATGGACGATAGCTTGATACGTAAACGAATACCTGATGCACGTCTCTCTCTTTCATCCGCTTGGGAAGAACCTGTGTCCGGAAGATGGCTGTGTGTGTTCTTTGGCAGCTTAATACATACTTATGTATATTTGCTGCATGCTACAGTATCTGCACGAAGCTAAATATATTTAACAGCGAACATGAATAACATGTATCCTAGTGCCCACAGCGGGTATTATGGACATGTGAAACCTTACAGAACTGGCAGAAAGATGAGTTTAGAAAAGTCTTTATCTTTGCAAACATCACGTGAAGGGCATCTATGTGATACCCTGTGAAAGGATGTATCACTTCACAATAGAAATCACAATGTAAAAAACATGTGAATGCACTGACACATCTGGATAGCTTAGTATCCTTGGGTTTACTCATGGACTTATTAAAGATAACAAAAACAAACTGTCCACATGTTTCAATATAACTAAATTTGCATGCATCAGTGAGTGAGTGAGTAAAAATATTAAGTCACTTTGGCAATCCTTCAGCCATATCGTGATTATATCAAGTTATAGATTTATAATAAGTAAAGCTAAATTATAAAAACCTGTCAACGAAGGACAGTAAAACAATTAGAATGTCACAGATATATATGTAAAACCAGTAATTAAATCTAAAACATTTTATCCTCGCATCAGTGAAGGCTATTTGAGTATCTTTGACCACGACACACGACACAGACAAACGCTTGTTGTTACACCAGATCTCTTGTAATGATTTAGGAGATAAACGTACTGTGTTTGGAAATTAGATGAATGTTAGTCCGAATTGATAGTCTCTAAATTTCATTGGAAGCCGAACGCGTAGCGTGAGGTTTCAAATGATTAATTTATAGACTATCATTTTTTTTCACTCATTACTCACGTATTAAATGTGAATATTAGCAGAACATAACTCCAGATTCAAAGACAGGTGAACAGTTAGTATTTTGTCAAGTCACCATGGGCAGCAATGCAGGCTTCAATGCGGCGGGGCATACTACTGATCAAAGAAGTTAGAAAGTCGTGGTCCATGCTGTCCCAATATCGGACCACCTCTTCTTTCATTTCAGCAATATTTGTCAGATTTTACTTATTGACACTTTCCTTCATAAGTCCCCAAACATTTTCTACTGGATTTAGTTCAGGGCCATAGCTTAGCCAATCTAATAATGTCAGATTTTGGGTCCGAAACCAGGCTTGTGAATGCTTTGAACGATGTTTTGGGTCGATGTCATGCTGGCAAATCCAAACAATTTCATAGAACACGTGAGCAGATGGAAGTAAATGTCCCTCGAGAATATCTGTGTACCGCTTACTGTTCACATTCCCTTCAAATACACAGAGGGGCGTTGTCCCTAAAACAGATATGCCACCCCACACGTTACACTTCGGACTGTACTTTGGGCGCTGAAATGTTTGGTCCAGAATGTCAGTGTATTAGGAAACAGCCACACAAAACTTTCATTTGAGAAAATCACATTGTCCCAGTTAAAATTTCTATGCGGTAAAGCACCAGTTCAACCTTCGCTCCTTTTGTTCAGGTTTCATGATCGGTGATGGAATTCCTCGACTTTTCTGCAAAACCATTGCATGCAGCTCAGTTCTAATTGTCTCCTTACAGACAGCCACAGTTCCTCTATCAATCATATCCAGCCTTTAGTTTTCTAAACTCCTTCGTTTGTTTTTGAAACAAGAATACCAAGCCGCCTCCTGTCACCGGCAGTCAACTTTCTGGGCCTACCTGCGCCTCCCTGGTGCTCAATGCCATATCCATTTGCAATATTTTTCAAAACACGATAAACAGTGGACAAAGGGATGCCTGTTCTACTTGAAATCACTTTAGCTATCCGATGTCCATGTTATAATACTCTAAAATCAACTTTCTCTTCTCTAAATCATCAATACTGAGGATCACTGAAAATGTCGTCTGCTAGCAAGTAAACAAAGGGGGATAAGTTTTCACAAACTAATGAAACAGGATTAACAGAGTTGTCTCTCTTGAATGAAACCAAGCACTTGATAGCTGGTCAAGGTTGTTTATACTAGAAATCCAATTAAACATATTCCTAAAATTCTCAATAATTTCTGGTCATACTATATCTCTCAACGGTATGTGGTGAGACTCGCACACTCATTTCGTGTATATGATACAGTTAGGGAAGCGTGAAAAGGCAACTAAATATACAAGCATTGTTTTCAGAAACACTGACTGGAGCAAACTGAAGGTTAACGTTGTCACGACGATCAGTAAGACAGATGGTCATCTGTTCTGTACTACCTAACCGTACGTGTAAGATACTAATAGTCGTGTATGTTACTACAGCTACAGGTACCAGTGTCCATGGGCGAACAACAATAAAATGTGGGCGGGTTGCAGGTGTTTTCGTCAGCTGTAGAACGTATACACACCTTGATACATTGTACAACATTTCGTGTGATATGGGATATGAAGATTTATTTGGAGGTTAAATCATAAATTCTTACCAAAGACACAATTACTTCCCTCATGAAGCACCTTACACAGTGTGAAGACATGTTGGCAAGACCATTCAGGCTTCCGATTTCTGTACCATTTTACAATCACTAACCTAAACTACCATCACATTGATATCCGTGAAGGTTCATAATCCGTCAGCGCCACATGATGCAGCACATAGGGCTGGTCATCACATGTTGACGTAGATGCTCTGGGACTCCAGGTAGGCTGCGGCCACGTCGTAACACAGGGCAACGTCAGCCTGGGAGACAGAGAGGAGATACATGTGTGCTATGTGAGATACATGTGTGCTATGTGAGATACATGTGTGCTATGTGAGATATATGTGTGTTATGTGAGATACATGTGTGCTATGTGAGATACATGTGTGCTATGTGAGATACATGTGTGCTATGTGAGATACATGTGTGCTATGTGAGACACATGTGTGCTATGTGAGATACATGTGTGCTATGTGAGATATATGTGTGCTATGAGAGATATATGTGTGCTATGTGAGATACATGTGTGCTATGTGAGATACATGTGTGCTATGTGAGATACATGTGTGTTATGTGAGATACATGTGTGCTATGTGAGATACATGTGTGCTATGTGAGATACATGTGTGCTATGTGAGATATATGTGTGCTATGTGAGATACATGTGTGCTATGTGAGATACATGTGTGCTATGTGAGATACATGTGTGCTATGTGAGATACATGTGTGCAATGTGAGATAAATGTGTGGTATGTGAGATACATGTGTGTTATGTGAGATACATGTGTGCTATGTTAGATATATGTGTAGTGTGTGAGATACATGTGTGCTATGTGAGATACATGTGTGCTAAGTGAGATACATGTGTGCTATGTGAGATACATGCGTGCTATATGAGATAAATGTGTGATATGTGAGATACATGTGTGCTATGTGAGATACATGTGTGCTATGTGAGATACATGTGTGCTATGTGAGATACATGTGTGCTCTGTGAGATACATGTGTGTATATGTGAGATACATGTGTGCTATGTGAGATACATGTGTGCTATGTGAGATACATGTGTGCTATGTGAGATATATGTGTGCTATGTGAGATACATGTGTGCTATGTGATATACATGTGTGCTATGTGAGATACATGTGTGCAATGTGAGATATATGTGTGGTATGTGAGATACATGTGTGCTATGTGAGATACATGTGTGCTATGTTAGATATATGTGTGGTATGTGAGATACATGTGTGTTATGTGAGATGCATGTGTGCTATGTTAGATATATGTGTAGTGTGTGAGATACATGTGTGCTATGTGACATATATGTGTGCTATGTGAGATACATGTGTGTTATGTGAGATACATGTGTGTTATGTGAGATACATGTGTGCTATGTGAGATACATGTGTGCTATGTGAGATACATGTGTGCTATGTGAGATACATATGGGCAAGTATCGTGTAAGTATGGTACATACAAAGATGGGCTAGTAGGAATCTTCAGGACAGAATTATGAAACATTTAAGAAATATAACTTTTTCATAGCCATTACCCCCCAGTTTACCTAATTCTCACATACTCGAATGTAAGACCAATAGCATTTCTAATATGCGTGCAGTGCATCACAGAGTATGAACAGAATTAATAATAATCAGTCGAGTTGTCAAATATAAGCAGTATGGCCATTAGGCGACGATACGAGTGTATGAAGCAACTATTACAAGCGTGTACATTTCAGACTTATTGGCTCGCATTACACACAGGTTTCAAAACTGTACGTTTAAATATTAGACTTTGTTCTTTGAAATTGTAATAGATACGTTCATAAAGACATGTGTAGAGAGCTACCTGTGGACATATTTATGTAAAGAAAGTAATCAATCATAAGATATGAATAATGATACAAAAGGTGAGCATTCCCTGCAATGTGAAATCGCCTATATGCTGAGAATTATGATGGCATTAATATAACATACGTTCATCGTAACAGGTACACAATGGTGGTACATAGTCTCATGTACATATGATAGCTTCAACAGTGATGTATTGCAACTACATGTGGACATACCTGTGTGATGTCCCGATCCAGACAGTGGACCATCGCTCTCATGTTGTTGTAGATCTCAGCTCTTTTGTCATACTTCAGGCCTTGGACAATATTTCTCAGGATGCACAACATGGCTGCATTCTGTCTGCCGTCATCGCTGGAACAAACAGGGCGAGTCAACAGCTGGTGAGATGCTAGTGACAGAGATGCATGCCGTTCACACCAACATCATTAGAATCTATGACTCGTGTTGTACGCCATAGTCAGAGCAGTCCACCTAACTCACCATATACATTGTACTAGGTCAACCACAGTAAGCACTGGATCGATCCTTGTTAAATAACGTTTAGAGCTGTCTGTTCTTACAAGGGATCAGGTGTTTGTTTGTGTTATGGATAGATGAGTGAGTGAGTGAGTTAAAATTTATAGTCACATCGGCAATATTTCAGCCATATTGTGACTTAAAAGTTATATATTAACAATAAACACAATTACAATATAAAACACCTGTCGACGAAGGACAGTAAAACAACTAGATTATCACAGTGATAAATTTAAGACTAGTAATTAAATCTAAAATATAATACTTTTAAATGACAATACAATATAAAAACGGCTATAGATTTCCAACAACTGAAGGTAGATCACCATACTAGGGACCATGGGGACTTACAGTACATTTGCTTCCTGCATGGACCCTAGCTGGATTTACACAATCCCTTCAGCCCTTAGCAATTTAGCAAATCTAGCCATACATTAAAAGAACAGGTATTCTACGATTAAAAAAGTGGAACGTTTTAATATACTTCGAATGTTTCGTAAACTCTCAGGATATGGATAGATGAGGCATACAACTATCAAATGTACCGATTTACGAATCACAAATATCTTATACGGAAAACATCTGAAGATTCACAACAGATCATCTGAAGATTCTCAACATCGTAAATTGTCGCATTTGAATATGAGATAATTTCCTATTGGAAAGAAGGAATACATTGTGGAGATCATTCAATATTTCTAATTCAGTGACGACTTTGTCTTTCATGTTAGCGTGATTTGTTATTTAATTAACTGGACTATCCATTTATTTGTCCTCTGTTGACACATTCGTTCATTTATCATCAACATGTGTTGGACAAATAAATATTAAGATTATATTAGGCCTTCCAGAATTATGTCTGTCAGATTTCGCAAGCTGTAAAAAGGCATAGTTGTTGAGATTTTTTACTCGAACATATCCCATGTACTTCCCTCACCTGTATATGACGGTAACTGTATTGGGACTGACATCTCCTGTGTAGTGGTCAATTTGTTCCAGAAGCTCTAAGAAAGTTGAAAGGGGTTCCTCAGGTAAGATGTTTAAGATGTACACACGTACAGGTGTTGGTTCAGCAGTCTGTTACGGAAAATGAAAATGACCAATAGTAATGTTTCAGTACATTACTTTAAACTCGTCAAACACACTGACTGATTTCTCAGCCGTGAGTGATGATCTGTTGACCTGACAGACCTGACCCATGGCAGGTAGGACAAATCGCTGAGATAATTATATTGTCACACAAATAATGCCTTTAGTTGATTCATCATGATACTGGAACCATGTTGTCAATAGGAACACTGCGTTGTGTTTTTTAAATGAAATATTGATTCATACAATAACAATTATTCATTCGGTGAATAAACAGTGCCAAATGAGGAAGAACGGTTATAATCATTGTGAGTTTCCTTCCTTCCTGAGCCCAATGTGATGTGAACTATACTTAAGTATATAAAGTATATTTAAGTATATTTAACACTTCACCACAAGTCATGTCGTAACTATATAGATACATCATCAATGTCTTCATTTGGTGGGTGTTCCTAATTACATCGTGAGCCTACCTCCACCTGTCTGTGGATGTTCAGGAGGGTGATGTCAGTGTTGACGGGGACCTCTGTGGAACATCTGACAGTCACGGGGCCCAGATCCAGGCTGTCTCCTGGGGATGGAACAAAACTGGACAGACTCTGAAACAAAAAGACTCAAGTTTGGAAATCTAGCGACAAGAAAATGAACGTTTGTGCACAAAGTGATGCCACAACTGGATTAACATAACCCACCTGGTGCGAGTCTGGCAGGACAATGACGGTGGAAGAATCCCGTTCATCTGTGAGATTCCAGAACAGAGACGCCGTGGTGACGGAGGGGGCCTCAGTTAACAGGTAGCCATTCACGGACAGGTAGGACTGAGGTGAAGATAACAAGACTAAATGTACCTTTTCCCTTTAGATGGCGTTGCCATTACTGAAGGATAAAAGAATGATAACTACCTTTACAAGGCCATGGGAATATGTCATGAAATATGAACTTGTAAATAGCACTATCATATCCAGGTATTTACCAGGTCTCTCGTTTATCGACTATGAACCATTGCCAAAACACCATTTGTTGTTTACAGGTATGTACATGGTGTCTTCAACCAAAAAACTTTTCTGTACCCGAGATCTGACAGCCATGATCTCGGAGCGTCCATTGATACACACACGACCGTTGACACTGGCACCTGAAATAGCAGTTTCATACTTAATATTTCTCTTGTCTGGAAATTCAGAGCGTCAAACGGATGTACATGTAATGGAATTATCAAACAATGATAGTTTAAAAGCTGGTTAACAAAAGTATTATGATTAGCTGTGGACTTTGTCTTGACATTGAAGATGGAGAGAAATTTATGGATGTCATTTCACCTGACGAAGGTCTTGGCACACATTCCAATACGTTGTGTTACTGCAAAGTTGCCATCCATAAAAAACCCCAACTTACTACTGATGGTGACGTGTGAGGAATGGAAAACAAGACATCGTATCACTCTGCACATCCGAATAAGAAATAAGTGAAGGATTCACAACATACCATCACAACATCTACCATCACAACATCATCTGACATCACAACATCTACCATCACAACATCATCTACCATCACAACATACCATCTCAACATCATCTACCATCACAACAATTTCTACCATCACAACAACATCTACCATCACATCATCTACCATCACAACATCTACCATCACAACATCATCTACGATCACAACATTATCTACCATCACAACATCTACCATCAAAACAACATCTACATCGCAACGACATATACCATCATAACATCATCTACCATCGCAACATCGTCTACAATCATAACAACATCTACCATCATAAAATCATCTACCATCACAACAACATCTACCATCACAAAACCATCTACCATCACAACATCATCTACCATCACAACATCATCTACCATCTCAACATACCATCTCAACATCATCTATCATCACATCATCTACAATCACATCATCTACAATCACAACAACATCTACCATCACAATATACCATCTCAACATCATCTACCGTCACAACATCATCTACCATCACAACAACATCTACCATAACAACATCATCTACCATCACAACAACATCTACCATCACAGCATCATCTACCATCACAACATCATCTAAGATCACAATAACATCTACCATCACAACATCTACCATCACAAAATCATCTATAATCACAACAACATCTACCATCACAACAACATCTACCATTACAACATCATCTATTATCACAACAACATCTACCATCACAACATACCAACAGAAAATCATCCACATCACAGCATCATCTACCATCACAAAATCATCTACCATCACAACATCATTTACCATTTCAACATCATCTACCATCACGACATCATCTACAATCACAGCTTCGTCTACCATCACAACATCATCTACCATCACAACATCTACCATCACAGCATCATGTCAACATCAACGACCATCACAACATCACCTACCATCACGACATCGTCTACCATCACAGCATCATCTACCATCACAACATTATCTACCATCACAACATCATCTACCATTACAACAACATCAACCATCAAAACATCATCTACCATCACAACATCATTTACCATCACAACATCATCTACCATCACAATAACATCTACCATAAAATATCGTCTACCATCACAACAACATCTACCATCACAACATCATCTATCATCACAACATCTACCATCACAACATCATTTACCATCTCAACATCATCTACCATCCACAACATCTACCATCACAACATCATCTACCATCACAACAACATCCACCATCACAACATCATCTACCATCACAACAACATCTACCATCACAACAACAACATCCACCATCACAACATCATCTACCATCACAACAACATCCACCATCACAACATCATCTACAATCACAATAACATCTACCATAAAATATCGTCTACCATCACAACAACATCCACCATCACAACATCATCTACCATCACAACAACATCTACCATCACAACAACAACATCCACCATCACAACATCATCTACCATCACAACAACATCCACCATCACAACATCATCTACCATCACAACAACATCTACCATCACAACAACAACATCCACCATCACAACATCATCTACCATCACAACAACATCCACCATCACAACATCATCTACAATCACAATAACATCTACCATAAAATATCGTCTACCATCACAACAACATCTACCATCACAACATCATCTACCATCACAACACCAACCATGACAACATCATCTACCATCTCAACGTCATCTATCATCACATCATCTATCATCACATCATCTACCATCACAACATCTACCATCACAACATCATCATCCATCACAACATCTACCATCGCAACAACATCCACCATCCAACATCATCTACCATCACAACATCATCTACCATCACAACATCATCTACCATCACAACATCTACCATCACAACACACCATGACATCATCATCTACCATCACAAGATCTACCATCACAACATCATCTACCATCACAACATCATCTACCATCATAACATCATCTACCATCACATCTACCATCGCAAAAACATCTACCATAAAAATATCGTCTACCATCACATCATCTACCATCACAACATCAACCATGACAACATCATCTACCCTCTCAACATCATCTACCTCTACCATCGCAACAACATCTACCATAAAAATATCGTCTATCATCACAATTACATCTACCATCACATCATCTACCATCTCAACATCATGTACCATCACAACATCTACCATCACAACATCATCTACCATCACAACAACATCCACCATCACAACATCATCTACCATCACAACAACATCCACCATCACAACATCATCTACCATCACAACATCATCTACCATCACAACAATCACAACAACAACTACCATCACAACATACCATCACAGCATCATCTACCATCGCAACATCATCTACCATCACAATATCATCTACCATCACAACATCATCTGTTATGGTCCCTATTCGGAAGACATTCACCACTTAGACATAGTTTCAGGTGAACAATTGACTTCGGATAAAATGATCTCAGCCAACGGCTTGTTGCAACAATTTGGAAGGACGACCAGTGTATTGAAATCTTCTGTGTGAGATGATACCCGAGGGCTGAAGACATGACCGTTTCCATCAGTGAGACTGTTCATACTTACCCTTGGACTCCTCCTTCCTTTGATCGTTCACGGTCTACAACGACAAAAACAAAATATTCAGAATTTGTAATGTAGGCGTTATTAAGTCCCTTTTTCATTATTAGTTCCGTGTTGCCAAAAATAAATGTTAAAGTTGAATTATTTCAAAGCACCTACCTCTATGAAATCGGTAATTGTCATTCGTCCTGTGGTGAATGTCCCTTGTATATCTCGGCTTCTTCGAAATTCCTCAACACTGATGACAGTGTTGCCAAATTGGAGTGCTTCATACAGAGCCAAGTAAACACACGTGTACTGCTCCTGATGCAAAAACAAATCAACAGTTCAATATGGTGATGGATGACATATAATGCAGTAAAATATTTAACTGAACATGTTGTGCATCATGTATTATCTGTTACAAATTATATCCCATGCTGATTATCTTGTGTAAGTGGTCTGAATTTCAGTCGTTTGATAATGATAATAGTATTTTCTAGGGGCATGGTTGTCTCCAGTAATAGTTTGTTTTTATATCGATTACATTGCTTTATCCATCAACGGCCAGCAAATATTGAAAGAGAACAAGTATGATGTGAATAATACAAGAAGTAATACATGAATTTAAAGAGAACAAAACAGTGACATTCCAATCCATTCTAGAGCCATTGCATCATATGTGATTGTAGTCCTATATCATTACAGGTCCTCACCTTGGTCTGTATCATGCCCTTCCTCTGGTCTCTCATCCCCGAGACACAACCAAACACATCCACCGCATCTTCAGCCAGAGCCTGGTCCAGCAGGTAGTCCAGGGCGATGTAGGCTCCTGTCCGGCCGATCCCAGCACTAGGGACAATAAAAAAACACAGTTCGCAGTAACATTCCCTATTAGATCAGCTCATTAAAAACTGGAAACTTACTCACCGAAACATACACACACTATCTTTCATAAGTCCATCATGTTCTCTGGTTGTATGAATACCAGAATGAGTATCGTTCTATTTGGTCAGAAAACTAATACCACTACCTGTATATCCCTATATAAATCGTATATGACAATTATAATCAAAATGATCCAATATGATCGAAGTCCAATTAAAAAATAACAGTGTCACGGCAGTGGTGTCATTGTTCGAATGGCCTGTGCCATGTTGGTATTTTCCATCAGAAAATCAGAACACGAAATCTGAATTTATCGAATGTATGATCTAATGTTGAAGCTGTGTCAGTTACCTGCAGTGCACCAGTAGATGGTCACCCTGGGTACTAGCTGATCCCCTGACCAGCCATAGAAACTCAGTCAGAGCCGTGACGTCGGGGGTCCCGTGATCCAGCCATGATGTAAATTGGAAATGATGAATACACCTTGTTGTGTTTGTCTGAAGTCATGTAAAACATCTTTAGTGCGAATTGTGCTTTCCATAAGTCAGAATGGCCCTGGGACTACATCCACGCACTGAGATTGGCTTATGAAGCAAAAGTGTTTGATACATTCATGCTTTATCTTGTATGTTGATACATTCTTTACCTTTGTCAAATGAAAGTATAGCGTACCTTTCTGTCTGTAACCTGTAGTTCTCTGACGGCCCAGTGAGCTCGGATACTGGACTCGGTCACAGAGATGATGAAGTCGCCTACATGCTTGTCTGATGTATCTGACCAGTATGCCTCGCACTCCTTCTATTATTAATACACTGAATAATTGTGTTATCAGTAAAAGGACATGTAAGTTGCTTTTCACTGTCTCGACATTATATACGAAGCATGAACGTTCTATTAATCAGAATCACTGACTGACATTCACTTCTGAAAACCCCAAGTACAATCTTGTACGTTCTCACATCAGCAAGAGCAACTTGCAAATAAAAGGAACATGCCATGAATTATTTTATTCATCAACATGACAGGTTTTGATCCACCTTGAACTTACAACGTATTAAATTGTATCAAGTGGGTTAAGAAATTCTTTAGTTCAACCCTCTAACCATCTGAAAACGTACCCTTCCCAATTCCCGAAGATTTGTCACCATGACGATTCTTGTACAGTTCTGTTCCCAGATCATCCTCCAGAAGTCAGTCAGGGTACTGGCCTTCGGAGCTGTATGAAATACACAATACGTTAACAAGTGTTGTTGTTTCTTATGGTGTCTTTCATCATCTAGCAAGTTATGATTGAACCCCGGTCATGGAATTTATATCATACAGGTTGTTCAAAGGGTAATCACTGTTCTTCCTTCTCTTTCTTTCTATCTCATTCTCTCTCTGTCTCACTCTATCTCTCTTCCTCTCCCCCGCAGTCTCTCTAGCCGTACCTTGTGCTGCTATGTAGGCTTTGGGTTGAGTGTGTCCCTGTGGAAAAAAATCGTATTGTTATTATAATAACATAAATAGCAAATAGTAATAATGTTCAGCAAACATGTTCCAAGTAAACTACCCGTGTAGGTCCGGGTAAGAATGAACCTTCAGTAACGCATGCTTGTCGTAACAGGACACTAACGGGATCGGATGGTCAGGCTGGCTGGCTTGGTTGACACATGTCATCGGTTCGTAATTGCGCAGATCGATTCTCATGCTGTTGATCAATGGATTGTCTGGTCCAGACTCGATTATTTACAGACCTGGGCCATATAGATGGAATATTGCTGAGTGCGGCGTAAAACTAAACTCACTCACATTGATGTAGCTGGCGTTGATGTAGTCGGAACCAGGCTGGCCTGGCAGCTCCTTCAACACGACCCGAGTGACATCGTCTGTAATAGAGAAGACTGTGATGTAGGAGACTCTACAATAGGGTAATATACGGGTAGCAAGTGAACATGCTATATATATCCACTAACACCTTCTATCCTGACGAGAAGGGATACTCACGGGCACAGGATGTGCTCCTTTTTTTCGAGTTTTTGCTCGAACTGATCATAACGAAATCAAATCCTTTGGAAGATCAAGAAGCCACAAAGAAAGACATCATACATTGCGATTCTGCTTCGTAATACCAGAAAGAATTGTCCACAAGAAACACGTAAACTGACAGCGGGTGAAAACTAACATCATGTATCTTATGCTTGAATATATGCTACATCTTTGTTGATGCCATGCGTATCATCAAGTTAAAACAATTGTGACATACATAACAATTTCACTCGAAGGAAAGTAATTAATGCCCCCACTATAAACACTCACATGGATAGAGACCTATGTATCTGTTTTTTGCCCTTGTTTTCCTCCAGCTGGGAGACATCGTAAGGCCCGGTGAAGGTGGTGGGCAGCTTCTGCAATAGATGAAGGAACAAATATCCACCAGACTGCAGAAAAATCTATGAAGGTGGTTAATAATGTAATGGGGCAGACACATGATTACTGGGCTCCTAAGGCTTTGAAATCTCGTCCGAATATGTATATTACCAACAATAGTACTGATTCAACTGACCTGATACTCTGCCTGGAATCCCCCGACGGGCACCTGCAGCTCCTTGATCCGCTCCCCCAGCTGATCTACAGACACCACTGTCACAGCAGGAGCTCTCGCTATGTTGTAGTACGAGGCATTGTGGTCCTTCCCTGGGACAGGCACAGGGTTGTCCACTCCCGTCTCTCCTATTCCATACACAGAACTAATTAGGGGGGCATTCTTCTCAGTGGCAACTGTTGAGCTACAATCGGGAATGCTCTTGATACGAAGTTGTTTGACAGCATGAGACTCTTGATCAACAGTTGTTTGACAGCGAGATACAAGACACTTGATCAAAAGTTGTTTGACAGCGAGATACAAGACACTTGATTAAAAGTTGTTTGCCAGCGAGATACAAGACACTTGATTAAAAGTTGTTTGACAGCGAGATACAAGACACTTGATCAAAAGTTGTTTGACAGCGACATACAAGAATCTTGATCAAAAGTTGTTTGACAAGCGAGATACTAGACTCTTGATCAAAAGTTGTTTGACAGCGAGATACAAGACTCTTGATCAAAAGTTGTTTGATGAACATTACAATGTTCAAGGCCTTATAAAAGCTTTCACGAAATTCAATTGTGGAATTGTCCATACAAGACGCATCGGTGACAAAAAAGTATGAATTCATAACTTTCTAAAGTATCAGTTTTCCTTATTGACTTGTACCACATGATCCCTTATTTTTCTAGATGAACAATTGACTCGCCTTTGCATGTATCTGGGACGGGTAGCGGTGGGGGTACAGGATATGCTCACCCTTTAATAACACCATGTATAAACACTTTTTAAAAGTGATTCATAAATATAGTCGGTTTCGTACAATCCACAAGCAGGGTTCTGTCGCTTCTATTTACATTCCGATACAGAACAGAGGATATATTGTTTGGGTATATGTGTGGAACTGGGTATACAGCAACTAGACAGTGTGTGTCTTGTTATACCAAAACTTAATAACATGCCTGCAATGCGTCAGCTGCTCATAGTGCGCTTGAAATTCATTATCACCTTTGGGTGAATTAGACATATGTTAAACATATGTTAAACAACGTTACTGGCTTAAAGCGACAGCAAGTGGGTTACTGATCACGGATCCGTGTGGAGGACGGCCGAAGCCCCACAAGTCCAAAGAGTGATCCCCCCTGCTCAAGACAGTCACCCAGTTACAGCTCTCTGAGACCAGTGTTACAATAGTACACAAGACTTCGAAAACTAACCTTTTCGTGTCTGTACCAAACTTTGGTTTTCAGCTTTCTCATGGCCATTCCTTCGTCTCCTGGAGAAACAATTCATGTTATGTACCACATCGCCTCATCCTATTAAAGTCTGACAAACATCTGACTGTATTAGAATTTATCCCAGCACGTTGGTGTGTATTGTGTTAAGTAAGGATATCAATAATGATACTTTGCCATGAGGGCCACACCCATCATGATATTGTTCGGTGATATCAATCTGTGGTGTAAATATATACGTTTACTCATCACCTGACGAAGACCACAATCACAAATGCGATGACGGCTGCAGCAGCGAGGACAGCAACTACACACCCTGCGATCACACCTGCATCTATCGATGGTGTATCAACGAGCTCTGCAACGAAGTCTCAAGTCAAACAATAGTGACATACAAATAAGTATCTTCGCAATGTTAACACATCTTTCACTTTTGCCTGTACACATTGAATAACTTACAATTTGAACAAACAAAAAAAGAGTCAACAGACTTGAGTATGCACACTGTTTTGGTATGAACGTTACTCCGGTCATCTATCTTCTTAACATGTTTTTCCATACCTTTTGCATGCAACAACTATGATCAAATATGTACACGCAGTCTGTAACACACAAATGGGTCACAAATCTCAAGCAAACTTAATAAAGGAATATTTCAAAGCTGATACAAAACTTTGGACCGTTTTCTGTGGATGATATTTCAAAGCATATTGATATGCATTTGTCCTCAAAAGTAATGGTTTGTGGGAATCAACAAGACATGATTATCTTCTGTTCATTCAGATCTTCTGTACCGTCATAGATATTTGATCTACAATCTGATGCATATTACAACCGTTATCTTATCACAGTTTGCATACCGTTGTATACTGTGTCTGCCCACAGCTGTAGGTTCATCTCAACTAAACATCTCCTACTTATTATATGATATATGGAATAAATGTTGATATATTACTTTGGGTGTCGTCTTCTCCAATCCACCCTGACAGACATCCTGACTCACACAGACTGTGTCCCGATGACAGGTGCCCCACCTTCCCTCTCAATATCATGGATATCAACAGAAATGGGCTTCACATATTGTACCCATGTGGGGAATCAAGCCCAGGTCTTCGACGTGACGAGAAAAGGTTTTAATCATTAGGCAATCCTACCGGCCAAAATATGCATTACTATTGCTGACGGTATATATGTTGTGTTATATGCAACCCAACTTGTCATCCCAACTACCAGGACAAAACAAGCCAGTCATGCCTTTTCTGACTCTGTCCCGATCCTCTGGAACTCCATCCCCCTTAAGATAGGATGTGCAGAAACACCTGACTCCTACCGCAGACTGCTGAAAACCTATTTCTCCTTAGAAGCCTATCCCTCCTAGACTTTGTGATGCGCCGTGGAACAGCTTCAAGTTGGATACATGGCGCCATGGAAATCCATTATTATTGTCATTATTATTATTATATGTATGATACAATCAAAACAACAAAGCAAGCTTCCAGTTATAACTAAACCGCCTCCGTGGTGAAGTGGTTAGAGCGTCCGCCAGAAGAGCGGAAGGTCGCGGCTTCGATCCCCGGCTGCCTCATCCAAAAGACGTTAAAATATGGTACTTGTTGGTCCCTGCCTGGCGCTCGGCATTAATGGGTACAACAAGGACTGGTCGGCTCGGAGTCAGTATAATGTGTCCAAGTGGGGTATTCATGCTTAACTGCAGCATGGCATCTAAGTGAGCTAGCACTATAAAACCAGCTTAAGTCTAAGTACAAGCAGCCACATACACATACACACGTATGCACGTCGTCATATGAGCGAAATATTCTCAAGTACGACGTTAAACCCAATTTCACCTCCCCTCCAGTTATAACTGGTAACAAACCTGATGTGCAATCGGCATCTTTCCAACCGGGCCTGCAACCGCTTTCACACCTCCCGGTCACGTGATCACAGTTGATAGAGGTTTCAATGCAGTTCCTGTCAGAACACATCTTGGAACAGCGTTCTCCATACGAATGTAGGCATTCTGTGAAAAAACGACACATGAAGTCGGTCTTTAATGTACTAACAATGTAGGAAGGCGTCATTAACAAACAGCTAACAAATAATTCTTTTAATAGTCTGTTCAAACATATATGGGAGGCTATTTCTGTGCTACCTATTAGTCAACAAATATCTTACTCTGCGTGCAGTCTGTTCCCTTCCAACCTGCTCTACAGCCCCAAGCACACTTTCCTGTCACGTGGTAACAACTAGAGTTGTCGCCCTTGCAGTTCCTGGTTGAGCAACTCTTGCTGCAGTTGGCTCCATAGTGGCCAGTTTCACATTCTGAAAGAGCAAACAATGCAGCATGTCACTGTAGCGAATATTGTATAATGATTGATTAATTCGGTTTATTTTGAATGAAAATGCAGTTTAAACATAAACACAGTGACAGTGGAGAAGACATATTAACTATAACACGTTTGGTCAGCCAGCACGGACCTGTATCACACTTTTGGTTTCTCCATCCAGGCAGACAGACTCCACTGGGGCAGATGCCGCTCACGTAGTCGCACACCTCCCTGTCACAGTGGCAGTAGTTGTCACAGTCAGCCCCAAAAGTACCATTGCTGCAAACTTTCAGTGAATGAAGTAACAGTAGCAGGGTAAAATGCCACAGGAACACCATACAGATTGCCATCATGACCCTCTAAGGCGCCAGGTATCTATGTTTTTTATTTGTTGGTAAAGTAATTGTACAGTAGCAGGATACAATGCTACGATACAACATTTCAAAAACATAAACATTGAGTTATATGAATTCTATCAGAAGCAATACCGATTTCGACATATGCTTGATTTGAAGGGTTTTGTGCGCGTATTTAATAGTCTCAACTTTACAAAGTCTCGCCTTTATTTTCTGCAACATACGGCTATTTGGCATTCGTTGGAAGTGTAATTTGTTGTAAAACAATCCTGTAATTATGTTGGCGTAATTTTAGTTAAAAATTATTCAGTAGATGTCGTATCCGTGTTGTTATGATATTATGTTCTAGCCCATCTGATGTAGCAGTGGTGACTTATCCAGATGAATACCCCACTCAGGGTCAAATGGAATATTGGCTGCAGAGATGGACCTATCCAGAATAGAATAAATGATCTGTGAGGTTGTAAGCGGTAAGCGTAAACCGCTGTCATGGCACGTCACATCTAGACCAACAGTGGTGTGAAGATCACACATTCATCCTGAATACCCGGCTGAAACTTGTCCAGTGTTGCTGTATTGTAAATCTATACTGTACTTAGCCTAGTGGTGAAAGCATTCACTTGTCAAACAGAAGACCCGGGTTCGATTCCAGACATGGGTGAAATGAGTGACTATTGTGTAATGCAAAATTACTTTGCAATATGTTTATATTAAAGTTGATAGTTACCTTACTTAATACTTACAATTGTAAATTGCGTAACATTTCATGGTTATTTTGGTGTTTTCTCACTGCATTATTCAGACAGTCAGTAGGTCATATGGGTCTGTTTTGATAAATACAATTGAAACCATACGGCGGAT